TCTCTTTTGTCGTGCCTAGCTTCCTCTGTACTTTGCTCTTCTTGTTGCTTCGCTTCTCATTTTTCGTCTGGTCTTGACTTCGTTTGTTCCTTTTCTTTTACGCTCTGTCTGGTATTTATTTGCCTCTTCTTTTAATGTTTGTTTGTGCGTACCCTTATAGCTTTTTGTTTTCTCTGGTTCTCTCTCTCTGGTGCGTTTGTCTTTGTTGTCCGCTTGGTCGTGCTCTGATTGTGCTCTGCTTTTCTTCTTGTCTTTACTGGGGTTTGGCGTCTCGCTTCTTTGTTCCTTTTTCCTTTGGTGTGTTTTCGTGCTCTGTTTTTGGTCTCTCGTTGCTTTCTGGTGTGCTCTGCTGCTTCGTGTGTTTGTTGCTTTCTGTCCTTCTTTGACTTTGCTGTTTTTTCTATTTCCGAGCCTTCTATTTGTTGTGGGGCTCTGTGCTCTTGCTTGCTCTTTTTTTTGTTTCGTGTCCTGCCTTCGCGGGTTGTTGCCCCACGTTGTGCTTGCCAATACTTCTTCCTCTGTCTTATCTTGTGTTTGTCCTGTGGTTCGTCTTGTCTTTGTTGTTGTGCTTTCTTCCTTCTGCTTCGGTTTACTCTCACGTTCGTTCTCTCGTCTCATCCTTCCTTTTACTGTCTTTTTTCATGGATGAACTTAACGTGTTTTAAAAATCCTGATTCGGAATTCTCTTTTTAAAGTTTGTTTTAAAAAAAGAGGTTCTAAAGAAATACAAAGAGAGTGATGCCCCTCAGCAGCTTGCTTGTTCCCAGCAGAGGGAGTGATGGGAGCAGAGGGGTGGGGTCAGAGTGTGTGTGTGCGTGTGTGTTTGTGTGTGTGTCTGTGTGTCTGTGAACATATGTCTGAACATTTGTAAAAAAATAAAAATAAAAAGAGTGTTTCCTGTACAGGTTTTGAAATAAATATTTCAATTCAATTAAGCTCAAGATGTCTTTATAAAATCAATTTAATGTGTTTGTAAATTGCCCTAAATCACAGCCGCGGTCGTCTCGGAGGACTTTACAAAGTTGTGGATTTGTCAACAACAGATCAGAGAATGGGGCGACAGTAGCTCAGTTGGTAGAGCATTGGCCTTTGAGCCTGAAGGTCGTGGGTTCAAGCCCACCATAAGACCTACTTCACGACTCCCATTGATGACTGCTGTCGTTGTGTCCTTGGGCAAGACACTTAACCCCACTTTGCCTGAAGCCCCCACTGAAAGCTCTCAGCTCCTGTGGACTCACCACCTGCAGGAGGATCAGTGAGAGGCTGGTGCTCTGTGGACAGGGTGTAGCTCTGACTGACACCCCCGACCCAGAAATGGATTAAGGGGAAGAAAATGGATGGATGGATGGAGATCAGAGAATCAAACAATCGAATGCAGGTGAATGCAATGAAAACAAACGCTCAGGGGCCGTTGGTCCAGAGGGAGCGGGGCCACGGCTGCCCAGGACTGAGGCTGTAGATCCAGGACTGAGGCTGTAGATCCAGGACTGAGGCTGTAGATCCAGGACTGAGGCTGTAGACCCAGGACTGAGGCTGTAGATCCAGGACTGAGGCTGTAGACCCAGGACTGAGGCTGTAGACCCGGGACTGAGGCTGTAGACCCAGGACTGAGGCTGTAGATCCAGGACTGAGGCTGTAGACCCAGGACTGAGGCTGTAGACCCGGGACTGAGGCTGTAGACCCAGGACTGAGGCTGTAGATCCAGGACTGAGGTCTGTAGACCCAGGACTGAGACTGTAGATCCAGGACTGAGGCTGTAGACCCAGGACTGAGGCTGTAGATCCAGGACTGAGGCTGTAGACCCAGGACTGAGGCTGTAGATCCAGGACTGCTGTTGAGGGACTCCAGGACTGGTATTATTCAGGGCTATACAAAAATAAACCGAATAGAATCGAATTGAACACAGTTAGTTGAAAAATTGGGACCCAAACTTTGAACCATTGAAATGTACTTGTTGTTGTTTTGATAAATGAGACAGAGTTTTACAAATTGAGGACAACATAGCGGTAATCTTTAGTAGAACCACTCTTCGTCTTCGTCTTTCCCTCAGAATCTTCCTGTAAAACATGCGTCTGATATTAAAGGGTAGTCTCCCACACAACAAAGACATGATAAATATCAAATCTCCCCGTCCCTGGACCTGGGCCTGGGCCTGGACCTGAGCCTGGACCTGGGCCTGTCCCTGGGCCTGGGCCTGGGCCTGGACCTGAGCCTGGACCTGGGCCTGGGCCTGGACCTGGGCCTGGGCCTGTCCCTGGGCCTGGTGCCGGTGGGACTCGCTTCTCTTCTCTAAAGCGTGATAAGTGAGTCTGAGCTTTTTAAGGCTTTTCTTGGCGTCTATAATGAAGCGTCGGTGTCAGAACGCCACTGAATCCTGGAGTGTGATTTCAGACCTGAGAAACACAATAACAGCCGCTGAGAGGAAGCTTCACAAACCAGAAAAGACTCACAAAAAGAATTTAAAATGAGAAAGAGGCGACGGAGAGAGGCTAATGTCGTTTCGCAGTTAGCGGCGTTAGCGAGCGGAGCTGGTGCTATGTCACTGTGTTTTTAGAGATGTAGAAAGGATTTGGTTTGATGGACTTTACTTTTATGACGAGCCAGATCTGGGATTTGTGGCTGTATGAGTAGAAATACAGGCAAACCTTGATTATAAACTAGTGCTAATAGTACAAATAAATATTTAGATTTTATTATTTACATAGAGCCGATGGTTCATAAGGAGCCAGGACTGAGGCTGTAGACCCAGGACTGAGGCTGTAGACCCAGGACTGAGGCTGTAGACCCAGGACTGAGGCTGTAGACCCAGGACTGAGGCCGTTCTGTTTGAGAACATTTCTAAACATATGTTCTAAAGTCAACATAATGAGATGTTCAGAAGTAGCTCACTGTCATCGTGTCCTGACAGTCTGAAAACAACACATAGTTTGGATCTAAATAAATCTGTGTGACTGGCCTTCCAGCAGGAGACCAGTCCCTGTGCTCCTCAGAGTCCCAGCAGGAGACCAGTCCCTGTGCTCCTCAGAGTCCCAGCAGGAGACCAGTCCCTGTGCTCCTCAGAGTCCCAGCAGGAGACCAGTCCCTGTGCTCCTCAGAGTCCCAGCAGGAGACCAGTCCCTGTGCTCCTCAGAGTCCCAGCAGGAGACCAGTCCCTGTGCTCCTCAGAGTCCCAGCAGGAGACCAGTCCCTGTGCTCCTCAGAGTCCCAGCAGGAGACCAGTCCCTGTGCTCCTCAGAGTCCCAGCAGAAGACCAGTCCCTGTGCTCCTCAGAGTCCCAGCAGAAGACCAGTCCCTGTGCTCCTCAGAGTCCCAGCAGGAGTCCAGTCCCTGTGCTCCTCAGAGTCCCAGCAGGAGGCCAGTCCCTGTGCTCCTCAGAGTCCCAGCAGGAGGCCAGTCCCTGTGCTCCTCAGAGTCCCAGCAGGAGGCCAGTCCCTGTGCTCCTCAGAGTCCGGGCTGGTTCATATGGGACTAACATGTCACTAATATATTTTGGTGCGAGGCCATGGAGAGACTTGACACAAACAAAGCTTCTTTAAAGTCTGTTCTCTGAGCCACAGAAGCCAGCGCAGAGACCTGAGGACTGGACTAATGTGGTCGTACTTCCTGGTTCTAGTCAGGACTAATGTGGTCGTACTTCCTGGTTCTAGTCAGGACTAATGTGGTCGTACTTCCTGGTTCTAGTCAGGACTCGAGCTGCTGCATTTTGAATGTACTGCAGCTGTTTTTGAGAGAGAGAGGAGAGAGAGAGAGGAGAGAGAGAGAGGAGAGAGAGAGAGGAGAGAGAGAAAGAGAGAGAGAGGAGAGAGAGAGAGGAGACAAAACAAGATACAAGCGAGACAAAAAAAAACAGAGAAACAGGTACAAGAGAGAGAGACAAAGACAGAGTGATTATGTTATTATTCAGAGAGAGTTTTCTGGTATTAACAGGCGTACAGTTCTATCAGGTTCCACAACACGCCTGTTACACACATGTGACACGCTTGTGACACGCATGTGACACGCATGTAATCGTGCGGAGATGATGTCTCGGGTCACAGCACGACCAGAACCTGAGACGTCCTGAACATCTGTGTCTCTGACCCGGTGTTCACTTATGTACAGAACACACACAGATTTAATGTTGTCGTTCAGCCAAAGGGAAAAGGTGTGTGTGTCTGTGAGAGACTGATGTGTGTGTTTCTATGGGAGACTGATGTGTGTGTGTGTGTGAGTGTGTGTGTCTATGGGAGACTGATCTGTGTGTGCGTGTGTGTGTCTGTGAGAGACTGATGTGAGTGTGAGCGTGTGTGTGTCTATGGGAGACTGATCTGTGTGTGTGAGTGTGTGTGTCTATGGGAGACTGGTGTGTGTGTGTGAGTGTGTGTGTCTATGGGAGACTGGTGTGTGTGTGAGTGTGTCTGTCTATGGGAGACTGGTGTGTGTGTGAGTGTGTGTGTCTATGGGAGACTGATGTGTGTGTCTGTGGGACTGGGGTCCACACATTGGCCCTCATTTATGAAAGTTGCTCAGAAAAGGGTGTATATTTTTTGTGTATATTCCATTTACGCCAGACTCAACGCGAGATTCATGAACGTGTGAGATCCGCACAGATCTGAGCGTACGCAGCCGCGGCTGTTGATACATGCCGCGCTCAAAACCAGCGTATTTATGAAAGTTACACCTAGAAATATTCAGGAAACTCCCTGTTTTTACGACCGGTCAGTGTGGAAGTCGGCCACCCTCAGAAGGCCAGTTACAGACACGCTCTGAGTTTATATTGAGTTTTATTGGATTATTTTGTGGGAAAAAGCCCCCCGCTATATTATATATACGTGTTCTTTCTCATCACTCCTGAACTTTAGAAATGAATGAATGAATGAATATTAATATCTCAGCGGTGATTCTCGTCTGGGTCAAGCGTCAGCGACTTCTTCTTGTGAATGCACTGGAGCGATCTCTGTGAGAGAGAGAGAGGATGTGTATGAGTCCGTGATATCACAGAAAAACTCCAAAACGTCTGAATGACGCGCACCACATACGGCGAGTGCGGCGGGACGTCTGTGGCCCCTGCTGCGCACTGTCCCAGAGCCACTGCCCCAGAGCCACTGCCCCAGAGCCACTGTCCCAGAGCCACTGCCCCAGAGCCACTGCCCCAGAGCCACAGCCCCAGAGCCACTGTCCCAGAGCCACTGTCCCAGAGCCACAGCCCCAGAGCCACTGCCCCAGAGCCACTGTCCCAGAGCCACTGCCCCAGAGCCACTGCCCCAGAGCCACAGCCCCAGAGCCACTGTCCCAGAGCCACTGTCCCAGAGCCACAGCCCCAGAGCCACTGCCCCAGAGCCACTGTCCCAGAGCCACTGTCCCAGAGCCACAGCCCCAGAGCCACTGTCCCAGAGCCACTGCCCCAGAGCCACTGTCCCAGAGCCACTGTCCCAGAGCCACTGCCCCAGAGCCACTGTCCCAGAGCCACTGCCCCAGAGCCACAGCCCCAGAGCCACTGTCCCAGAGCCACTGCCCCAGAGCCACTGCCCCAGAGCCACTGTCCCAGAGCCACTGCCCCAGAGCCACTGTCCCAGAGCCACTGTCCCAGAGCCACTGTCCCAGAGCCACTGCCCCAGAGCCACTGTCCCAGAGCCACTGTCCCAGAGCCACTGTCCCAGAGCCACTGTCCCAGAGCCACTGTCCCAGAGCCACTGTCCCAGAGCCACTGCCCCAGAGCCACTGTCCCAGAGCCACTGTCCCAGAGCCACTGTCCCAGAGCCACTGCCCCAGAGCCACTGTCCCAGAGCCACTGCCCCAGAGCCACTGTCCCAGAGCCACTGTCCCAGAGCCACTGTCCCAGAGCCACAGCCCCAGAGCCACTGTCCCAGAGCCACTGCCCCAGAGCCACTGTCCCAGAGCCACTGCCCCAGAGCCACTGTCCCAGAGCCACTGTCCCAGAGCCACTGTCCCAGAGCCACAGCCCCAGAGCCACTGTCCCAGAGCCACTGCCCCAGAGCCACTGTCCCAGAGCCACTGTCCCAGAGCCACTGCCCCAGAGCCACTGCCCCAGAGCCACAGCCCCAGAGCCACAGCCCCAGAGCCACAGCCCCAGAGCCACAGCCCCAGAGCCACAGCCCCAGAGCCACTGCCCCAGAGCCACTGCCCCAGAGCCACTGCCCCAGAGCCACAGCCCCAGAGCCACAGCCCCAGAGCCACTGCCCCAGAGCCACTAACCGTTCCCACAGAGCTTTGCTGTATCTTTGCCATCGCTGTGTTTATGAGGTTTATGCACAAAACTAATGAAGAAACAAATTTCTTTGCCAAAGGTGAATGAGACAAAATAAACAGCCGTGTGCAGGGGCTGCCACAGACTTACACATTACACACACATTAAGTAAGAAAGTAAACCAGGTGTACTGTCACAGAGCAGGATCACAAAGGGCTTCACACAACAGCGAAAAAATGAAAATGAAAATAATACACAGTCAGATTTTAAATCAACAGAAGAGGCTTCTCAGCATGAACTGGGATTTATTTGAAGTTTGTGTGTTTCCAGAGTGTTCAACTTTTTCTGATGCGCAAATTCAAATTTAGAATCATGCTCCATGAAAACTAAGTTTATAATATTTCCAGAGTGGAACATGTTTATTGTTTCATGCGTGTTTTTGGCGTGTTGTGATGAGGGTTGAAATGGGCGTACACATTTACACCACCTCCTGACCCGGTGTGTGTTCTGTACCGTTCACTCACGTCCAGACTGATAAATGCTGAAAAGTGTATATTTTCTGCGTACGCCTCATTTACCCTGATGTCATACCTGAGGCCCACTGTCACTATGATTGTATTATTATCATTATTGTATTGTATTATTATTATTATTGTATGTATTATTATTATTATTACTATGATCATTATTGTTATTAATGTTATTAATTTGAATGTTGTGGCAGGTTTTGTGACATGTTAATATTCCTCCTGTAATCACTCCAAATGTGTTTTATGTTTCTATAAACAGATCAGACACTTTTGGTGTTTTTGTTCCAGTGTGTTTGTGCATGTTGTTGTGTGAGTGTTGTTGTGTGTGTGAGTGTTGTGTGTGTGAGTGTTGTTGTGTGAGTGTTGTTGTGTGTGTGAGTGTTGTTGTGTGTGTGAGTGTTGTGTGTGTGAGTGTTGTTGTGTGTGTGAGTGTTGTTGTGTGTGTGAGTGTTGTTGTGTGTGTGAGTGTTGTGTGTGTGAGTGTTGTTGTGTGTGTGAGTGTTGTTGTGTGTGTGAGTGTTGTTGTGTGTGTGAGTGTTGTTGTGTGTGTGAGTGTTGTGTGTGTGAGTGTTGTTGTGTGTGTGAGTGTTGTTGTGTGTGTGAGTGTTGTTGTGTGTGTGAGTGTTGTTGTGTGTGTGAGTGTTGTTGTGTGTGTGAGTGTTGTGTGTGAGTGTTGTTGTGTGTGTGAGTGTTGTTGTGTGTGTGAGTGTTGTGTGTGTGAGTGTTGTTGTGTGTGTGAGTGTTGTGTGTGTGAGTGTTGTTGTGTGTGTGAGTGTTGTGTGTGTGAGTGTTGTTGTGTGTGTGAGTGTTGTGTGTGAGTGTTGTTGTGTGTGTGAGTGTTGTTGTGTGTGTGAGTGTTGTTGTGTGTGTGAGTGTTGTTGTGTGTGTGAGTGTTGTGTGTGTGAGTGTTGTTGTGTGTGTGAGTTTTGTCGTGTGTGTGAATGTTGTTGTGTGTGTGAGTGTTGTGTGTGAGTGTTGTTGTGTGTGTGAGTGTTGTGTGTGAGTGTTGTTGTGTGTGTGAGTGTTGTCGTGTGTGTGAGTGTTGTTGTGTGTGTGAGTGTTGTGTGTGTGAGTGTTGTGTGTGTGAGTGTTGTTGTGTGTGTGAGTGTTGTCGTGTGCCTGTGTGTTGTTGTGTGTGTGTGTGAGTGTTGTTGTGTGTGTGTGAGTGTTGTCGTGTGTGTGAGTGTTGTTGTATGTGTGAGTGTTGTGTGTGTGAGTGTTGTTGTGTGTGTGCATGTTGTTGTGTCTGTGAGTGTTGTTGTGTGTGTGAGTGTTGTTGTGTGTGTGAGTGTTGTGTGTGAGTGTTGTCGTGTGTGTGAGTGTTGTCGTGTGTGTGAGTGTTGTTGTGTGTGTGTGTGAGTGTTGTTGTGTGTGTGAGTGTTGTCGTGTGTGTGAGTGTTGTCGTGTGTGTGAGTGTTGTTGTGTGTGTGAGTGTTGTGTGTGTGAGTGTTGCTGTGTGTGATTGTTGTTGTGTGTGTGTGAGTGTTGTCGTGTGCCTCTGTGTTGTTGTGTGTGTGAGTGTTGTCGTGTGTGTGAGTGTTGTTGTATGTGTGAGTGTTGTGTGTGTGAGTGTTGTTGTGTGTGTGCATGTTGTTGTGTCTGTGAGTGTTGTTGTGTGTGTGAGTGTTGTGTGTGAGTGTTGTCGTGTGTGTGAGTGTTGTTGTGTGTGTGTGTGAGTGTTGTTGTGTGTGTGAGTGTTGTCGTGTGTGTGAGTGTTGTCGTGTGTGTGAGTGTTGTTGTGTGTGTGAGTGTTGTGTGTGTGAGTGTTGCTGTGTGTGATTGTTGTTGTGTGTGTGTGAGTGTTGTCGTGTGCCTCTGTGTTGTTGTGTGTGTGAGTGTTGTGTGTGTGAGTGTTGTCGTGTGCCTGTGTGTTGTTGTGTGTGAGTGTTGTCGTGTGCCTGTGTGTTGTTGTGTGTGTGAGTGTTGTCGTGTGCCTGTGTGTTGTTGTGTGTGTGAGTGTTGTCGTGTGCCTGTGTGATGTTGTGTGTGTCAGTGTTGTCGTGTGCCTGTGTATTGTTGTTGTGTGTGAGTGTTGTCGTGTGCCTGTGTGTTGTTGTTGTGTGTCAGCGTTGTCGTGTGCCTGTGTGTTGTTGTGTGTGTGAGTGTTGTCGTGTGCCTGTGTAATGTTGTGTGTGCGAGTGTTGTCGTGTGCCTGTGTGTTGTTGTTGTGTGTGAGTGTTGTCGTGTGCCTGTGTGATGTTGTTGTGCGTGAGTGTTGTCGTGTGCCTGTGTGTTGTTGTTGTGGTTGAGTGTTGTCGTGTGCCTGTGTGATGTTGTTGTGTGTGAGTGTTGTCGTGTGCCTGTGTGTTGTTGTGTGTGTGAGTGTTAGCGTGTGCCTGTGTGTTGTCGTGTGCGTGTGTGTTGTGTGTGTGTGTGAGTGCTGTTGTGTGTGTGAGTGTTGTCGTGTGCCTGTGTGATGTTGTGTGTGTGAGTGTTGTCGTGTGCCTGTGTGATGTTGTGTGTATGAGTGTTGTGTGCGTGAGTGTTGTGTGTGTGTGTGTGTGTGTTGTTGTGTGTGATTACAAGGCATAGTGTAAATCAAATTTCCGATTTTCTTCAAACACATCTGATTTTTAAAAAGAACATCTAAAGTTTATGACATAACTGACTGTGTGTGTGTGTGTGTGTGTGTGTGTGTTATCATTCTGTACTTCCTGTATCTGTATTATTGTGTGTTATAATAAGTGTTTTATTGTGTTGCTCCTGCAGCTGAGGGCGATGATGGCTCCACAGCAGATCCTCAGTCCACAACAACTACACACACTACTGCAACACAAACAACAGGCTCTGATGCTACACCAGGTGAGACCAGAGAGACCAGAGACACCAGAGACCAGAGAGAGACCAGAGACCAGAGAGAGACCAGAGACACCAGAGACCAGAGAGAGACAGACCAGAGAGAGAGAGACCAGGGAGAGAGATCGGAGAGAGACCAGAGACCAGAGAGAGAGACCGGAGAGAGACCAGAGAGAGACCGGAGAGAGATACCAGAGAGAGACCAGAGAGAGAGACCAGAGACCAGAGAGAGACCAGAGAGAGAGACCGGAGAGAGACCAGAGAGAGACCAGAGAGAGATACCAGAGAGAGACCAGAGAGAGAGACCAGAGACCAGAGAGAGACCAGAGACCAGAGAGAGACCAGAGACACCAGAGACCAGAGCAGAAAGAGACCAGAGAGAGACCAGAGAGAGACCAGAGAGAGGCCGGAGAGAGACCAGAGAGAGACCAGAGAGACCAGAGAGACCAGTGAAAGACCAGAGAGAGATCTCTATCATCTCATGTTGACTTGCTATTTTACATTTGACGTATTTTTGCAGCAACATTTGAAAGAGTTTTATAAGAAGCAGCAGCAGCAGATCCAGCTGCAGCTGCTGCGACAGCACCAGGGCAACACACTCAAGGACGTGAGTCTACACACTTCACACAACATGCAGCAATCATCTAAAGCACGGGTCTACAACCTTAGTCAATCCCAGAGCAGCTTTTATACAGAATAAGAGACAGTGAGCTACTGCTTTTAGCAGTCGCACTAAAAATCTGTAATAATTGCAACAAAACATGGAAAACACATGTAAAATATATATATATATGTAACGGATATAAGGGTACTCGATCAAGATCATTTGTTAAATTCTAAATCCTTTGGAGAGCTACCTGAAAGGGGCTGGCGAGCTACTGGTTAGCTCTCAAGCCACAGGTTGGAGACCCCTGATCTAAAGTGACCAGAGAGGGACCAGAGAGAGAGTGGTATGTTGCTGTTGTGTTGCTGGTGTGTTGCTGTTGTGTTGCTGTTGTGTTGCTGGTGTGTGGTCTGACCTTGCTGGTGTGTTGTCTGACCTTGCTGGTGTGTTGCTGGTGTGTTGTCTGACCTTGCTGGTGTGTTGCTGGTGTGTGGTCTGACCTTGCTGGTGTGTTGTCTGACCTTGCTGGTGTGTTGCTGGTGTGTTGTCTGACCTTGCTGGTGTGTTGCTGGTGTGTGGTCCTCAGGGCAGCAGTCCTCAGTGGGTGTTCCAGCAGCTCCTCCAGCTCCAGCAGCAGCACATGGTCCCAGTGCAGCGAGACCAGGCCCCAGTCCTTACACCAGGTGAGTCCCAGTCCTCACACCAGATCTGTCCCAGTCCTCACACCAGATCTGTCCCAGTCCTCACACCAGGTCTGTCCCAGTCCTCACACCAGGTGAGTCCCAGTCCTCACACCAGGTCTGTCCCAGTCCTCACACCAGGTCTGTCCCAGTCCTCACACCAGGTCTGTCCCAGTCCTCACACCAGATCTGTCCCAGTCCTCACACCAGATCTGTCCCAGTCCTCACACCAGGTCTGTCCCAGTCCTCACACCAGGTGAGTCCCAGTCCTCACACCAGGTCTGTCCCAGTCCTCACACCAGATCTGTCCCAGTCCTCACACCAGATCTGTCCCAGTCCTCACACCAGGTCTGTCCCAGTCCTCACACCAGGTCTGTCCCAGTCCTCACACCAGATCTGTCCCAGTCCTCACACCAGGTCTGTCCCAGTCCTCACACCAGGTCTGTCCCAGTCCTCACACCAGGTCTGTCCCAGTCCTCACACCAGGTCTGTCCCAGTCCTCACACCAGGTCTGTCCCAGTCCTCACACCAGGTCTGTCCCAGTCCTCACACCAGGTCTGTCCCAGTCCTCACACCAGGTCTGTCCCAGTCCTCACACCAGATCTGAAATGTACCATAAAAGAAGATAAGAGAACCCTTATTTATCCCACAGTGGGGAGAGAGAGACCAAAGAGAGACCAGAGAGACCAGCGAGAGATCAGAGATGGATCAGAGAGAGACTGGATAAAAAATCAGGGAGAACCCAGAGGAGACCAGATAGAGAGAGATACCAGGTGCAGACCAGAGAGACAAAGGGATCAGGGCGAGACCAGAGAGACCAGCGAGAGAGACCAGAGAGAGAGACTAGAGAGAGACCAGAGAGAGAGACCAGAGAGAGAGACCAGAGAGAGACCAGAGAGAGACCAGAGAGAGACCAGAGAGAGACCAGAGAGAGACTAGAGAGAGACCAGAGAGAGACCAGAAAGAGACCAGAGAGAGACCAGAGAGAGACCAGAAAGAGACCAGAGAGAGACCAGAGAGAGAGACCAGAGAGAGACCAGAGAGAGAGACCAATAATGTTGTGTTCATTTGTTGCAGAAATTCAGCAGATTTGGAAGGAGCTCTTGAGTGGAATCCCAGAATCTAAAGTCACTGAAACCGTCCCAGAGAAACACAGCAGTGGGCACAGGGCTCCAGAAACAGAGACTCAAAGGTACAATATGTTTGACCTCTCACATGTTTGAATGGACGGATGAAGATGATTTAGAAAGTGTTTTATACGTATTAGTATTAGATAGCAATATGGCCTACGTGCAGGACTGTACAAGGACTCTACAAGGACTCCATGTTATGACTATGATGTGACTGTCTCTTTGTGACACGTATGTCTTTCGATGTGTGACGTGACAATGACTATATAAACTGTGTACTGCCTTTATTCTGTCTGAGAAAAAGAAACAGAGTAAACCAGTGGAACTTGAGAGAAACTTAAATAAACTTCCAGAGTTTGGCACACCACGATCCGTCTCTGTCTGCTAAATCCTAACAGATTTGGTGGAGAATGCGCGGCTCGGTTTGTGCCATTCTCTGGATTGTTTTGAGGGAGCTTGCTCTGTTTCTTTTCCTCTGCGTGAGAGACCGGCATGCTGTGTCTGGGAGCGGAGATTCCAGCATGCTGGAAGAGCTGTTCCTGGATGCTTCTTGTCGCTTCTGTCACTTTTGTTTTTTAAATTGAATTTTTCGACGCGGAAAAGATGTTGGTCGACCTCTCGAACAGTCCGGACAAAGAATTAAGGTAAGCAGACACCTTTTTTTAATATGTAAAGTCTGCATAATTGGATACTAGCTAAATTTTGAGCTGTCCCGGAGGTCTGTCCAAATCTCTCTAAATCAAATTTTCTTTATATTAGTCATTGTCACGTCACACATCGAAAGACATACGTGTCACAAAGAGACAGTCACATCATAGTCATAACATGGAGTCCTTGTAGAGTCCTTGTACAGTCCTGCACGTAGGCCATATTGCTATCTAATACTAATACCACGATCCGTCTCTGTCTGCTAAATCCTAACATACGACTTAAAAAACCCAAAGACCACAACAACTGGAGCTGTTGCGACTGTAAAATAAACAAATGGGTTTGGCGTAATGAGTTTCACTTATGCGGCAATCTAAACTCATGACGTCGCCGAGTGGTCCTACTGCAGCGGAGACACGGAGAAAACCACAGAGAGGACCACAGAGAGGACCACAGAGAGGACCACAGAGAGGACCACAGAGAGAGGACCACAGAGAGGACCACAGAGAGGACCACAGAGAGGACCACAGAGAGGACCACAGAGAGGACCACAGAGAGAGGACCACAGAGAGAGGACCACAGAGAGGACCACAGAGAGGACCACAGAGAGGACCACAGAGAGGACCACAGAGAGGACCACAGAGAGAGGACCACAGAGAGGACCACAGAGAGGACCACAGAGAGGACCACAGAGAGGACCACAGAGAGGACCACAGAGAGGACCACAGAGAGGACCACAGAGAGAGGACCACAGAGAGAGGACCACAGAGAGGACCACAGAGAGGACCACAGAGAGGACCACAGAGAGGACCACAGAGAGAGGACCACAGAGAGGACCACAGAGAGGACCACAGAGAGAGGACCACAGAGAGGACCACAGAGAGGACCACAGAGAGGACCACAGAGAGAGGACCACAGAGAGGACCACAGAGAGGACCACAGAGAGAGACACAGAGAGAGACACAGAGAGACACAGAGAGGACCAGAGAGAGACACAGAGAGGACCAGAGAGAGACCAGAGAGAGACCAGAGAGAGACCACAGAGAGGACCACAGAGAGACACAGAGAGAGACCACAGAGAGAGACCACAGAGAGAGACACAGAGAGGACCACAGAGAGAGCCACAGAGAGACACAGAGAGAGACCACAGAGAGAGACCACAGAGAGGACCCAGAGAGGACCACAGAGAGGACCACAGAGAGGACCACAGAGAGAGACCAGAGAGAGACCACAGAGAGAGACCACAGAGAGAGACACAGAGAGACCAAGAGAGGACCACAGAGAGAGACCACAGAGAGAGACCACAGAGAGACACAGAGAGACCAGAGAGAGACCACAGAGAGAGACCAGAGAGAGACCACAGAGAGAGACACAGAGAGGACACAGAGAGAGACCACAGAGAGAGACCACAGAGAGAGACCACAGAGAGGACCACAGAGAGAGGACCACAGAGAGGACCACAGAGAAGAGGACCACAGAGAGGACCACAGAGAGGACCACAGAGAGAGGACCACAGAGAGGACCACAGAGAGGACCACAGAGACGGGTTGACAAAGAGCCGTCAGAGTTTCCTCCTCATGAGAACAATAGTTGTTTTAGTGATTACCGTCAGAGGCTTTTACTCTGTGTCAATGCTTTGCTCCTGAAAAGAAAACATTCTGTATTTTTTGGGAAAACATCAAATGCGTTTCTCGCCTCTGACTGTCTTTGTAGCCACGACGTCCCGCTGGGGATATCTACTTCGTTTGTTTCACCCTTTAAACTCTAAACTGCACGTCCTGAAATCAGAAATAATTAGTTTCCGCACGTCGCTGCCGTGTTGGATTAGAGCCGTGTTCCTCAAGCTTTGTCCTGTAATCTGAATAAAGTCAGAATGTGTATTTTAACGAGTAATATTGAACCACATGTGTCCACTTTCACCTGACTTTGTCATCAGACGCCCATGTACACATGTCAACATTCAACTAGCCTGGTCTTACCACACCATAGTACACATTTCAATTCGTACTAAGGTCTGGATTTGCTCCATTGACTCCGTGAACAGGTGAGAGGGGCAACACACCCGAGTGTGTCACTAGCATTTAGCATTTAGCATAGCTTTACTATGTAGCCTAGCTTTAGCATTTAGCCTAGCTTTAGCATTTAGCCTAACTTTAGCCATCTCCTTTGCCACAAACGGAGCCCGTGGGGAGTAGCTCCACAATCTATTTCCAGCGATTACATTTGCTAAACATTCCTCTTTCTCCGGCTTCAATTTCTTGATAGAACCAGAACGGAATACTTTACTAACGCATTCTCCGCCAAACTACGACCCTGCCAATTCAGCGCAAACTCCTTGACGTCCCCAACGCCTCCCTACAACACCCGCCTCCCCCGCTCACTGATTGGCTGGAAGAATGGGACCCATAGACATAATCTTTTTTTACCAAGACTTTAAGTAATACAAAACAGTCAATAGAAACCAAACAACTATTTTAAAGGAATTTTATTTTAGATTTTGTTTTCGAATTGCAGTGATTCTATTTTTGACATAGAATTTAATGCCACTCCATGTCCGATGTCTAAGGTCATCTGGTGAGGCATTAATGCAGGCCAGGCAGTGAGACTTCCCAGGGACCTTTCCAGTCTGTATGAAAGGTGTCATGGTCTTCTCCACAGCCTTCACCTCAGATGCAGACCATGGCTTTCTTACACGTTCTAGGGAGAGAAATAAAAATATATTAGCAATATACACTCCCAGGGTGAGGACCAAGCAGCCTGGCTGTAATCCCCCACCTGGTACACTTACCAGAAGGGGCACTGCCACTACCATGGGGTGCATCTGGATGAATGGTTGAAGGTTCTCCGCTTGAAGTTTCTTTTAGCCCGTCCGTTTGTGAGAGGATCTCTACTGCTCTCCCTGTCGCACAGAAAATAAAAATACAAGTGGCCTTTAGGGGAAAAAAATCATACATATTTTAATAATATCAAGAATTACCTTCAGGCTCAATTTGTATCTGGTCGAGGCTCTTTCCTTCGAATTCCGTCACTCTTCCCTGCTCCATGGCCATCAACACTTTGCTGATTTTGGCCAGCTCCAGTGTCCCCTCTGGTAGTCTGTAATATTGCCTGTGGATGCGAATGTCATGGCCGAGGAAGTTGGCAAGTATGTCCATCTCATTCTCTTTCATATTGAGAACTGTAGACATAGTAGCTATGTGCTTTCTAAGTTTGGTTGAGGATAGCATCTCTGGATGCACCGCACCACATTCTTTGGCTACCTGGCGTAGGGAGTCTGATCCCCTGATGTGGGTGTCTGCGCCCGGGCGGGAAAAGAAGTATGGGTTATGGTCAGAGATGGAACAGGCCCTTCTGTTCTCCACCAGCACCTCCATCGAAGCAATCATTTCAGGAGTCAAAAGAACCGGCACTTTCCGACTTCTTTTCCCTTTAATTTCAATGCGTTGAAAATGCTGACACAGCTTTTTCTCAAGTTGGGACAGTCCCAGAGCAATGTCAGAATGGATCCCAGTCTTACTTCTTAAGGTAAAGGCTGTCAGTGGCATCTTTGAAACCTCACCTTCCCTTCTTCGATTGAAAATGATGACCTCACAAAGAGTCAAAACTGCCAGTTTAGACCAATGCTTAGACGTTGGCTCACTTATTAGGGTTTGCACATATTCAGGTCGACATACCTCAATATGTGCATGCATGGCTCTAACGTCCTCAGTCAGAGGGAGCAGGTCCGGAGTGTTCCACTTGGCTTGCCGGAGGGTCTGTAGGGCAGCAGAAGAAACACAGACGTCCCACCTCTTCTCAAAAAGCAGCCGGCTTCGTTGGAGGTTTTTAATAAATAGTTCATCAACACAATGCTCCATTTTTGAGTCACATTCAAGAATATCTGCTAGCTTTCTGAGGCTATGGCCGAGTTTGAGGGCCAAGGATGGAGTCTTGTATTGATTTGTTTCCTCATCATATCCAGCCACAGACCTGACTGCATCAATCACATGGTTAAAGTTGGAAGGAATAAAGAAATCCTTAATTGTTTTCAGTTTCCCTGCGGTTTTTGCTTCGTTAATTAACCTACCGACTTCTCTCATTTTCTGCCTAATGTAATCATGCTTAGTCTTATCATGCCCGTGTTTTAAGTACAGGTGCTCTCCGAGTCTCAGAATCCCCTTTTCTGCTTTGACAACACCCGTGACCTCATCCTGATGCATTGCCGAAATTAAAGACCACAGCTTTTTGCTGATGCCCTCCGGTACAGGCTGGGCTAGGGAGCAGAGGGACTGGACCCTACTTCTACCTGGTTTAGCCTGGGCATCTTTCTGTGAAAGCCGGCACCTGGCCACATGCCTCCACAGCGACTTTCGCTTAAGCAATGCCCCACAGTCTATACAGTGCAAAAACTCACTGGATTTAACTGGGGAATTTGGCTGTTTAGCTGGGACTAAAGTTCCAATGCCGGCCTTTAAAACCTCAAAATTGTGCTCACGGTTTCCACTATTCCTGATCAAATCAAACTGAAGTTTACGTGCTTTAGATTTCACAGGTAGAGCCAATGCTCTGGCTACGTCACTTTCATTTCCATGTTTTCTAGTCAAATGACGGGACATTTTGTGGCAGGACATTGAACAGTAGAGGCAGAAGTGTCTCTTGCTGTATACTCGCCCCCCATTTTTCTTCTTTTGCAGCTGCATGATAACAATCTTATTTGCCTTTGGTTCGTCACTTTCCGAGTCTTGAAGAAAAGTGTTTTTGATTTTTCTTTTTCCATACTTTTTTACAGGTTTCTTCTTGACAGTTAAATCGTCAGAATCTGAGTCGACTTCATCAATTAGGGACTCTTGACTAAGCTGCACAAACAACAAATAATTTGTAATCTGAACGCACCATTAGACACTGTTGCTAGTATTTTGGCCCATTCCTCCTGGAGCAGTAATGCCCAGACTTCAATGCCCTGGCTAATGAATTATATGGTTTTAAAATCTTATGATACATGTAACAATATATCTTGTGTATCTGTGTCAGTGTATCTGACTATAGGACATTTTCCTTAAACCAGAACAGAAGACAGGCCTGGCTTCTGTTCTGGTTTAAGTGCCATATGTTGCCAGTGGTGAACTCTTTGCTCAAAAGTGTCTGATTAAATCATTTTAAAAAATCTTTATATTGTAGTTATATTTGCAAAATGAGCATAACATTAACAACCAATTTTCAAAAATTATTTGGAGCATGTCAAAGATTAACAATAACCCTTTCTCTGAAAATCATAATTATATAATATCATAATTGACTATTTTATCATATATAAACCGTCAATATTATATAGAAATATAAAAAGCTCCTTTAAATCATGTTTATTACTCCTGGAGAGGAGGCTGTGATGTCGCACCACATGACATTTGGTCGTACCACATATTTAATAATAATAATAATAATCTTTATTTGTATAGCACTTTTAAAAACAATGTTTACAAAGCGTCAGCATGATAAGCAATAAAACAGTCATAATACAAGGTCAAAATAATTAGATACAGAAACACAAAGCAAACAGAGCAAAACACAAAAGAGACACAACAAAGACAAAGCAGACATTAAAATACAGCCTGTGAAGTTTAAAACTAACAGTTAAAAGCTGTTTGATAAATGTGGGTTTTAAGAAGTGATTTAAAAGAGGATACTGATGGAGCCTTATCTCCTCGGGTGGTTCCAAAGCCGAGGAGCGCGGACAGAGAAGGCTCGGTCTCCTTTTGTCCGGAGCCTCGACCTTGGAACAGTCACAGGGACCTTCCCGAGGATCTAAGGCTGCGGGGGGGCTCGTAGGGGGTTAAAGTTCAGAAATATAGCTTGGTGCCAGACCTAAACGAGCTTTAAAAGTAATCAGTAAAATCTTAAAATCAATTCTAAAACGCACAGGGAGCCAGTAGAGGGACGCTGACCCAGGGGTGATGTGCTCCCTTCTGTTAAAACCAGTGAGAAGTCTGGCTGCTGCGTCTGGACCAGTTGGAGGCGGGAGAGGGATTTAGCGTCGAGACCGGAGAGGAGGGAGTTGCAGTAGTCGAGGCGGGAGAAGATGAGGGCGTTGACGACTTTATGGAGATCGGGAGGAGTGAGAATGTTTTTAATCTTTGAGATGGTGCGGAGGTGAAAGAAGCAGGTTTGTGTGGTTTTATTGATGTGGGAGTGGAAGGTGAGGTGAGAATCAAAAATGACACAGAGGTTACGGGCGGATGGAGTGATGTTTGAGGACAGGGGGCCGAGGTGGGTTTGGATGTGGGATATAGATGGAGGCGGGTTGATGAGGAAGACTTCAGATTTGGAGGTGTTGAGCTGTAGAAAGTTATGGGCCATCCAACGGTTCACATCGTTAAAACAGTCGACCACAGCAGCCAGACTTCCAGGGTCGTTTGGTCTCAGCGGGAGGTAGATCTGTGTGTCGTCCGCAGAGCAGTGGAAGGACACGTTATGACGGGCCATAACGTGTCCTAGAGGGAGCATATAAAGAGAGAATAAAATGGGACCTAAAATAGAACCCTGCGGCACACCACAGGTAATGGGGGCTGTAGAGGAGGTAAAATCACCCATGGTGACCGCAAAGGTTCTGTCTAAAAGATAAGAATGAAACCAGCCAAGTGCAGTTTCTCTGATGCCAACCCACGTTTTGAAGCGGTCCAATAAAATCCTGTGGTCGATCGTGTCGAAGGCAGAGCTTAGGTCTAAAATAATTAAAATAGAGCACCCTCCGCTGTCTGTGTTTAAAAGAAGGTCATTTAAAACTCTAACTGCTAATTTACACATCACGCGTTACAGCACGTACGCGTTATACGCGCAGCAGACGCGCGTAACTTTTTTCCATGTTAACCTATGATGATATTTACACTTCTAGCGTTATACGCGCGTATGACGGACATGTGACGCGAAGCTGCGCTCTAATTTAGGATGGATTTCAAATTTTTTGCGCGCACCAACGCGTCTCCCATTGAAATCTCATGTAAAACTTTATTTTTCTGGCGGTCCTTGGCTTTAGATCACATCTGCACGCACACTGCACTTGTGTCTAAACATCAGCAGGAGGAGCAGCAGGTTTTACAGTGATTCTGGACATCGTTTTTTTTCTTTCATAAAGTCTCGCGTCTGGCCAAACCAGCGCACAGAGACCATGAAGACAAACACATGCATGTGATTTGTGTTGCTCTACATCAGTCCTCTGGCTCGTACTGTCCTCTACACTGCTCCATAGACTACACAGGGAGAGCATCAGAAGCCGCGGACCTGCGCGCACGGTCAGTGTAGATACTCAAAAAAAATGTTACGCGCAGAGAGCGCGCAGTAAACGCGTACGCGCTGTTTACGCCTACTGTGTAAATCCCCCGTAAGAAGGGCTGTCTCTGTACTGTGTTGTGCTTTAAAACCTGATTGGAATTTCTCAAAGATGTGGTTCTCATTAATAAAATCTAAAATCTGAATTGAAACAATTTTCTCTAAAACTTTGGATAAAAAGAGGAAGTTTTGAAATGGGTCTAAAATTGTTAAAATCAGTAGTGCTTAAATTAGGTTTCTTTAAAAGTGGCTGGACCACAGCATGTTTAAAACTGGATGGGACAAGACCTTGATCCAGGGACTGATTAATGATTGATAAAATGGGGGGTCCAACCACATTAAAAACAACTTTGAGAAACTTGGTGGGGATGACATCGAGGCTGCACGTGGCTGGTTTCATGTGGAATAAAATGTCAGATAAAAGAGAAAGGGATAAAGGCATCAAATGAGTAAAACAATTAAAATCCAGAGTTTCTCTGTCTATAAAAATTGCTTGGCTGGGAGCAGATATTTGGGCCCGGTTATCAGTGATTTTTTTAGCAACATTTAAAATAGTTGCTAGACTGTAGTAAACTTGTAAAATTAACGGGGCATTAACGCACGGGTTGCCACTATTCATTCTATAAAAAGTCCACTTAAATTTTTAATGTAGTCCATTTAAACTTAAATGTCAGACACACATCCACGCGTTTAGCGGCAGAGGAGGGGGCAGCCACAGACGCTTCTCCCCTCGCTCCTCTGATCAGAATGAGAGGAAAACTCCTGTTGAAAATCAAAGTCACCTGATGCGCACAGGCTCTTCTGTCTTTAGAACAGATAGAAATTTCTCCTCAAAAGGCGCTCTTAGACGCTGCTGTTGTAGCGAGGGCTGACGCAGCCTCATGCCGCTCCCGATCTTGGCGGAGTTTTTGAAGTCTACAGTAACTCTACCGAACACAATTACTCAAAATGAGTATTCTAACAATTTGAAAGTTATACCAGTTATACCACTTACTTTGAAATAGCATTCAGTAGCAACACTTTTAAACATAAAACACATTCTCACGATATTGCTAATACAAATTTATGATGGGGGGAAAACTTTCTTTCTCCGTGTTTTACAAATATAATGGAGTTGGCTGATGAATGTCTGCTTAGTTTAAAGTAGAACAGTTCAGTCTAACTTTAGACTCAATTGTGTAATTGTCACTGCAGTGACTTGAGCTGCTACAGAAACATTTGAGCTCAATGACCGCTATAAACGGTTTGATGTCTCTGTTAAACAACAGTCAATATTTTATACTTTGCTGCAGACTGTTACTGTAGGCTACACATGTTTTTCCTTCACTGAAGCAATTATTGCTCTGCTAATGTAAGGAACTTTTGAGAAGAAGTGTTTTTTAAATTACAAAATAAGGAGTAAGTAAAAATAATAAAGTAATATACAACTGTATTGTTACAGTACTTCCAATACAGTGTTTGTACAGTGTTTTACAGAGTCAATCCTTTGGCATTCCTGCGTGTTGTACGCAGAAATTCGTTGATTTTGTCCACACATTTTTTCAGTTCTGCCCTGTCCATGTCAGGAAAATGTTGCTTCAGTGTGCCAAGCACAAAACTCTTCACATTTTGAGGCAGTTCTAATTTGCCTCTGGATCCATCCCAATTTGTAGTTTTGGTCCATGCCTGGTAGTTCTCCTCCGAGATAATGTGCCTGAAGAGCAGGCATCCATATCTGCCAACTTGGCCGAAGCTTTGTTGGTGGAGTCTAGCATGGTCTTCTGGTCCAAAATGACGCAAGCTCACATCTGGGCGTTGGCAGGGAATTTGGAGGCTCTCGTTGAAAGAACAGGATAGGGCCAATGGCGACATCTGAAAGTCTGAACACTCTAGTTCTGGTGCTGGTGTTGAGGGGCTTCTGGGGATTGGTCTGACTGGTGTGGAGTGACTGGGCTTTGGTCTGATTGGTGTCGAATGAGCCAAAAGTAGCGCCGATTGCAGCTGCCCTAAGCCAGCTCTCAAATCTTGAACGAGGAGTCCGCTCTGACTGGTCTCTCTCAGCCCCTGCAACTCTTGTTGGAGGTTGTCTGTCTCCGCTCTGCTGGCTGACAGGTCAGCGTGCAATTTTTCATTGTCAGCAAGCAGCTGACCTACTCGAGCTCGTTCCGCAGTAAGCTTTGCTGTCCTCACGGCTAGACGCTGTTCAATGTCTGCCATCCAGCGGTCCTTATTGTCACGCACCAGCGACATGGAAACCGCTGCCTGTATTGAAATTGAGAAAAGTCATGAGTCGTGGCTTAGTTAAGCGAGGATGCCTGGCTTATTGGCTATTATACACTACACACAATACAGGATTACACTTACCGCTTTTTTTGTGACGAGACGCTTTGCTGTTTTGCCTTGCCGCAAAGATGATGCTGGCGAACGTTTGCCTGGAGTCTGTAAGAAACATTGCAAAGACATTAGAGGCTGTAGCATTGTTTAATACAGGGGTCGGCAACGTTTGTGACATGGAGTGCCAGTTTGAAATTTTCTTCTCATCTAGTGTGCCATTACCATCGATAAACGCAAAGTTAAAATATGACACAAAATACATAAACATTTCCAATATACCTGGAATTTTTTTCTCAACAATAACAGTATCTGTATTCAAAATAATTTAGCCACATCAACATTTCAAAGACTGAAAAAACAGCTAGTGTAGCATATATTATTATATTAAGTCCAGTAAACTGATTGTATTTGGGCTCAGACCAGAAGCTAAGAATGGGCTCACAGAGGGAGAGGTGTTTAAAATCACAGATAACAAAGACATGGGTATGGTCCAGATGTGAATTATGTTCAAAGATAGATATTAGGGGTGCAACGGTTTGAAAAAAAATCACGGTTTGGATCGTACCTCGGTTCAGAGGCCACGGTTCGGTTCATTTTTCCAAAAAAAAAGTTTTGTCTATTTAATAAACAAGGCTCCTGTGGACTCAACACCTGCAGGAGGATCAGTGAGGGGCTGGTGCTCTGTGTACTGGGTGCAGCTCTGACTGCCACCCCCCTGACCTAGAAATGGATTAAGGGGAAGAAAATGGATGGATGGATGGAGGGAGGGCATATTCCATCCATCCAATTATGTTTTTTTTTACATAATTAATGAAAAACAACACTAAGTGCAACATAAGAAGGCACTTTATGAGAGTATTTACCCTCATACATTAAACCACCTGATTCTCCCGAGGAGGCGCTCCATCCTGGGCCCAGCCTCATTCACTGCATTTATTTAATTTTTGGCATTATCAGTTGTGACTGGGATATTAGTACTGGGCCTTTGTCTTCCATTCCTCCGCTGCTGTGTCAGTACCTGCGCTGTGTGCCTGTGTGACTGTCGTAGAGGGGGCGTGTCTGCAGTGCCAGACTTTTCATCTCCCAGTCTGTAGTGATGAAGTGAGCGGTTATCGTAACATCTCATGGATCAACCGCTCACGGATCTATTATACTGTATGTTCCGCGGGACGTCCAAGCGTCAGTCGTGAGCGCAGCTGAGGATGTGCGGGAGAGTTGATCGATCGTATTTACTCATTTAAAAAGATTTGCGGACTTTACGTCTGCCATCTTGGATTCCTCTCGCTGCTGCATGAGAGAAGCTTGAGAAGGCAGTGCAAACCCCACGTAACACCGGCAATCCTGATTGGTCGTTTAAAAAATAATCTGGGGAAGGCGTACGCTATGGCGTCGATACCAGACCCATGTCGTTCAGCCAAACGCCTCTGGTGGAGCATGGCGGAACTACAAGGGTCTGGCAGAGCCAGGCAAGAACCTTTGCACCTCTAATAGATATTTACAAAGGCAGGGGATAGATTACACACACACACACACACACACACACCCCACATTCACAATATTTACAAAATATAATTGAACGGGTTTTGAGTGAGAGAGTCCGGTTGAGAGTTGGGTTTGGCAGGTTGGTTTGAAAAGGTGGAGCGTGTACTTTGCAGTAATCCAGTTCAGGTGATTGTCCCAGTTTGTGGTGGTGTGTGGGGGAGCAAAGACTGCTCGCCTCATGGAGCTTTCGCGAAAGTTCACCGTGGTAGACCCGGCTGCTGCTGCCAGGCCACAGGCTGCTCTTCCTCGACTCATCAATACCAGCAACGCCCACACCCAGTCAACCAATAACCACCAGGACAGCAAGTTAAAAGCCGGAGACGCCCACTTCCCGGTCTTCTGAAGTCTGCAAGCTTCTGAAGCCTGCAAGGTGCATGTCGCTAACGCACCTGTTCGCAAATGCATGCGTTGTTCTGGAGGGGTCGCTTCTGCTCACGTGTTGCTCGTGCGCGTGGCCCTGCTGTCCTCAGTCTGGCTGCTCATGGTCTGCTCCTCTTCCACGTCCCTGCACCTGCTGTGGTTCGCATATCCCCACTGCTCTCCTCCTCTGCGGGCTCTTCTGCGGGCTGCTCCGCGGGGCCCCTCCGCGGTTCCGTGCTGCTCGTGCCTCGTGGTCTGCTGCCGCGCGCAGACGGTCTGGCGGTGCCGTGCGTGTCCCTGCCTCCGATTGGCGGTGCCGCGTTGTCCCGTTGCTTTCCCAAATCTCCTGGCATGTGAGTACAGTGAGTGTGCCGACCGCGGACAGATTAATCCCTAAGTCTGGGCTGCAGGCGGCTGGTTTTTGCCCTACGCACTTGACTGCAGGCGTCAGTTTTCGCCCCGTGCTTGGTCTGCAGGCTCCGTTTTCACACGTGTTTGAGCTAACTGAGGGGCAATGCATATTAAATGGCATCAATCTCCAATGTCTGAGGGATATAAGAGGAGCAATGTGCATTAATTCAGATTCATGTTCTGCCACTTGCAGTAAAACCACGTTGGAAAAAATGTGCAAAGACTACCCCATCGTGCTCCAGACGGCACACACAGAGCTCTTGCCACAGCGCCATCTTTACAGCATTAATCTCATTACTCGCAAGTCACTATTGTTAAATGAATGTATTTAAATTCGTCTATCTGCAGGAGGAAGGAGGGGCCATGCATTTAAATAGCTAGGTCACTAGTATTAAACTGGGTAACTAAACTGCAGTTGTTGCATTTCGAAAGTGCAGCAGAAAGAAAAGGGGCCCAATGTGAATATGCAATGGGTTTGAAGTGGAGCTGGAGCTAATGAACGCATGGATCAGTGATCGTTCATGCGTTCTACCATAACCAAAGCAGCAAGATGGCTCCAGGGGACATCTGTTTCTCGCATGGGAATGTTTCGGATTCGGGTTGATTTATTTCCTCAGGCTCTTAAACAACCGTGGGCATGGTTCTCTGACCGCCGCTGCTGCGGTCCCTGCTGCCGTTCCTACTGATGCCTGATCCCGCTGCTGCCTATTCCTGCTGCTGCCTGTCCTGGCTGCCTGCTCCTGCTGCTCCTACTACTACATGTGCCGCTGCTGCTGTTGCTGCCGCTGCCGCTCCGCAGGCTCCCAGGCTGCACCTGTCTCTACGGCTCGGCTCTTCAGACACGTACGTAACCTGGCTCACGGAGACAAGCGGCGCACGCTGGCGTGACACGTCTGTTGTTCGTATGAATCGCATTGTGCTGCTGCTGCTTGCTGCTTCTGCTGCCGCTACTGCTGCTATTGCTGCCGCTGCTGCTTCATACTGCTACCGCTTCCGTGCTGCTGCTGCTTCTTTACTTTGACACCTCTCTTCACTGCGCATCTCTTTTACTGAAACACTAAACAGCTTCAACTATATTCTACTGCGGTGGCTTGATACAGGATTATTGCTGTTATTATCTACGGATGCTGAAACCGCTGCTGCTGCTGCTGCTTCATGCTGCTACCGTTACTGCTGCTACTGCTGCCGCTGCTGCTTCATACTGCATCTGCTGCCGTGCTGCTGCTGCTTCATGTACTTTGACATCTCTCTTCACTTCGCATCTCTTTTACTGAAACACTAAACAGCTACAACAATATTCTACTGCTCTGGCTTTGATACAGGATTATTGCTGTTATTATCTACGGATGCTGCAACCGCTGCTGCTTCCTACTGCTACTGCTGCTACTGCTAATGCTGCTTCTGCTGCTTCATACTGCTACCGTTACTGCTGCTGCTACTGCTGCGCTGCTGCTGCTGCTTCATGTACTTTGACATCCCTCTTCACTTCGCATCTCTTTTACTGAAACACTAAACAGCTACAACAATATTCTACTGCTCTGGCTTTGATACAGGATTATTGCTGCTATTATCGACGGATGCTGCAGCTGCTGCTGCTTCATACTGCTACTGCTACTGCTGCTGCTTCATACGGCTACTGCTGCTACTACTGCTGCTGCTGCTTCATTTACTTTGCCATCTCTCTTCACTTCGCATCTCTTTTACTGAAACCCTGAACAGCTACAACAACATTCTACTGCTGTGGCTTTGATACAGAATTATTACTGTTATTTTCTAAGGACGCTGCTGCTGCTGCTGCTGCTGCTGCTACTGCTGCTGCCGCGGCTTGATACAGGACTTTTGCTGTTATTATCTGAGGCTACTGCTGCTGCCGCTGCTGCTACTGCTACTGCAACCCACTCTCTCAGAAGCTTATCCTGCTTCTAATGGATGCAGCCCGGCTGAGTATGCCGCGCTGCGCCGGACTCGCACCTATGCTCCCAGGGTCGCTTCGGCGGTCGTGCTTCATCTCCCTACTGAATCTTCTGATTCTATCAGATGCAGCTGGCCAAGTAGCTGCGCTGAGCCGTCAATCGGACTCCTAATCAAAGGCATCCATACCTGTATTCTTCACTCTTCTGATCACAGGCTCCCCATCATGCTGCCCATCCTGCAGCGGCTCTGAGCGGCACTGAACTCCGGCTCATCTTCCAAGTACATGTCTGCCCTCCTCGCAGCATCTTCTGCTCGCCTTCTGTGGCTTCTCTGCATAAGCGTTTCACCACTGCTCACTCAACCTTCAATGCGGTCCGAGACACGGCTTTTCCCGTCCTATCCTACTGGCCTAATTATCTACTCTCCAACCCAAGATTCTAAGCGTAAGGGCGCCTGCAACATCAATGGCCCTCTCCGGTGTGTCTCTGCCCCTACAGGTCTCCGCTTCTACACGGACGCTGCCCCTTCCGTGAGTTTTTGGGGGATTCTTCCAGGACCAGTGGTTCGCCGGCCGTGGCCCGCTACTTTCCCCGGAGCATTTCCTCTGCCCTACACGAGACATTCCCAGTGGTCGTGGCCTGCGCGCTGCGGAATCACACGTGGCAGAGAAAGAGGATCTGTCATGCGTGATCATCTCGACGTAGTGGAAGCATTAAACAAAGGTCGCTCTTCTCACCCAACATAATGTCCCCTGACCATTCAACCTTCATCTCAAACATTCAAAGATCAGAGGCGCCTGCAACACAATAATAGCTCGCTTCGACACATCTCTCTGCCCCTACAGGTCCATGATGCGTTACACTCGCCTCCGCGGCAAAAAGGAGATTTTAACGGACCTCTAATTCTCACTCCAGTCAACCTTCCCATAACAGCAACCTGGTTCAGAGCTCAGCTAAGATCCCTACTGCTCCTCTGCAATTTGTCTCCCCAGCTCTATACAGCCCACTCCTTCAGGATAGGCGCTGCCACGCGCGCGACCTCGCTGGGGCTCCCCCACTCTTCTCTGCAACAGCTGGGGCGCTGGTCCTCTTCGGCTTCTCCACCTACATCAGGCCAGATGCGACCGCTATCATGGCAGCACAACGTCTACCGGCTTCCTCGTAAGCTCCCAGCAAAGCAAGTAAGCAATAAGATTCTGGTGGCGGCACGCACTTTCCTCAAACGCTCAAAGATTCCTCTGCTTCAGCGTCTGGCTGAACATGCGCGTGCGCGCATGTTCTCAGCTCGCTCAAAGATTCCCCTGCTGCGGCTGGCTGAGCATGCGCGTGCGCGCATGTTCTCAGCTTGCTCAAAGATTCCTCTGCTACAGCGGCTGGCTGAACATGCGCGTGCGCGCATGTTCTCAGCTCGCTCAAAGATTCCCCTGCTGCGGCTGGCTGAACATGCGCGTGCGCGCATGTTCTCAGCTCGCTCAAAGATTCCTCTGCTACAGCGGCTGGCTGAACATGCGCGTGTGCGCATGTTCTCAGCTCGCTCAAAGATTCCTCTGCTACAGCGGCTGGCTGAACATGCGCGTGCGCGCATGTTCTCAGCTCGCTCATGCTCTCAGGCCCGCGCAGTGCGTCCTGCTATCCCAATCGCAGGCCCGCTTTTTGGGGATCATGCACGCGAGCAAGCGCCGTGCTCAGCAGCATCCCGCCCGGGCCTAGGGCGCCAAACATGCTCAATCAATAAACATGCTTAAATCTAATAAGTCTAATGCGTTTCCTCATGGGTCTCTCCAAGGTGAACTACCACACTGTAGGGTTGACAATCTCTAGGTTTTCGGCCTGAGGCAGCTCGCCATCAGAGGAAGTCCATATGGACGGGCGGATCCAAGGAACCTGGCCTGCATGACAGGACCAATATAAATATCCAACAGTTTCATTTAGCAATATATCACTACTACAAAAATACATGTACATGTTCAATAAATATATACTCAAAAATCAGAGAGCTCATTCTCACTTCATAATTCACCATTAATCCTCTGCACCATTAATCACAATGCAATTAATTCAGTTCAGTGCACATATCAAAAATATACAGTGGGGCAAAAAAGTATTTAGTCAGCCACCGATTGTGCAAGTTCTCCCATTTAAGATAATGACAGCCTCAAACAGTCAGACTCCAAACTCCACTATGGCCAAGACCAGAGAGCTGTCGAAGGACACCAGGAAAAGAATTGTAGACCTGCACCAGACTGGGAAGAGTGAATCTACAATAGGCAAGCAGCTTGGTGTGAACAAATCAACTGTGGGAGCAATTATCAGAAAATGGAAGACATACAAGACCACTGATAATCTCCCTCGATCTGGGGCTCCACGCAAGATCTCATCCCGTGGGGTCAAAATGATCATGAGAACGGTGATCAAAAATCCCAGAACCACACAGGGGGACCTGGTGAATGACCTGCAGAGAGCTGGGACCAAAGTAACAAAGGTTACCATCAGTAACACACTACAACGACAGGGAATCAAATCCTGCAGTGCCAGACGTGTCCCCCTGCTGAAGCCAGTGCATGTCCAGGCCCGTCTGAAGTTTGCCAGAGAGCACATGGATGATACAGCAGAGGATTGGGAGAATGTCATGTGGTCAGATGAAACCAAAGTACAAATGTTTGGTATAAACTCAACTTGTCGTGTTTGGAGGAAGAAGAATACTGAGTTGCATCCCAAGAACACCATACCTACAGAGAAGCATGGGGGTGGAAACGTCATGCTTTGGGGCTGTTTTTCTGCTAAGGGGACAGGACGACTGATCCGTGTTAAGGAAAGAATGAATGGGGCCATGTATTGTGAGATTTTGAGCCAAAACCTCCTTCCATCAGTGAGAGCTTTGAAGATGAAACGTGGCTGGGTCTTCCAGCATGACAATGATCCCAAACACACCGCCCGGGCAACGAAGGAGTGGCTCCGTAAAAAGCATTTGAAAGTCCTGGAGTGGCCTAGCCAGTCTCCAGACCTCAACCCCATTGAAAATATGTGGAGGGAGTTGAAAGTCTGTGTTGCTCGGCGACATCCCCAAAACATGGAGGAATGGGCCAAAATACCAGCTACTGTGTGTGCAAACCTGGTAAAGACCTTATTGCCAACAAAGGTTGAATTACAGCTGCAAGTCGCTTGGGGTATGTCTCTATCAGTTTTGCATATCGAGAGACTGGAATTCTTGCCCATTCTTCCTTGCTGAACAGCTGGAGCTCAGTGAGGTTGGATGGAGAGCGTTTGTGAACAGCAGTCTTCAGCTCTTTCCACAGATTCTCGATTGGATTCAGGTCTGGACTTTGACTTGGCCATTCTAACACCTGGATACGTCTATTTGTGAACCATTCCATTGTAGATTTGGCTTTATGTTTTGGATCATTGTCCTGTTGGAAGATAAATCTCCGTCCCAGTCTCAGGTCTTTTGCAGACTCCAACAGGTTTTCTTCCAGAATGGTCCTGTATTTGGCTCCATCCATCTTCCCATCAATTTTAGCCATCTTCCCTGTCCCTGCTGAAGAAAAGCAGGCCCAAACCATGATGCTGCCACCACCATGTTTGACAGTGGGGATGGTGTGTTCAGGGTGATGAGCTGTGTTGCTTTTACGCCAAACATATCGTTTTGCATTGTGGCCAAAAAGTTCGATGTTGGTTTCATCTGACCAAAGCACCTTCTTCCACATGTTTGGTGTGTCTCCCAGGTGGCTTGTGGCAAACTTTAAACCCAACTTTTTATGGATATCTTTGAGAAATGGCTTTCTTCTTGCCACTCTTCCATAAAGGCCAAATTTGTGCAGTGCACGACTGATTGTTGTCCTATGGACAGACTCTCCCACCTCAGCTGTAGTTATCTGCAGTTCATCCAGAGTGATCATGGGCCTCTTGGCTGCATCTCTGATCAGTCTTCTCCTTGTTTGAGATGAAAGTTTGGAGGGACGGCCGGGTCTTGGTAGATTTGCAGTGGTCTGATACTCCTTCCATTTCAATATAATTGCTTGCACAGTGCTCCTTGAGATGTTTAAAGCTTGGGAAATCTTTTTGTATCCAAATCCGGCTTTAAACTTCTCCACAACAGTATCTCGGACCTGCCTGGTGTGTTCCTTTGTCTTCATGGTTCTCTCTGTGCTTTAAACAGAACCCTGAGACTATCAAAGAGCAGGGGCATTTATGCGGACACTTGATTACACACAGGTGCATTCTATTTATCATCATCAGTCATTTAGGACAACATTGGATCATTCAAAGATCCTCACTGAACTTCTGGACTGAGTTTGCTGCACTGAAAGTAAAGGGGCCCAATAATATTGCACGCCCCACTTTTCAGTTTTTTATTTGTTCAAAAAGATTAAATTATCCAATAAATTTTGTTCCACTTCACGATTGTGTCCCACTTGTTGTTGATTCATGACCAAAAATTAAAATTTTATATATTTATGTTTGAAGCCTGAAATGTGGCGAAATGTTGAAAGGTTCAAGGGGGCCGAATACTTTCGCAAGGCACTGTACTCCTAGGGCCTAATAACATTTAGTCTACATTTAACAACGTACCCGTTTTTTCACCACGGCTCGAGGTGAGTTTTTGTTCCGTGGGAAGAGAGTCTTGGCGACTCTGGAAGAGCGTTCGCGGTAAAAACCTTTGGCTTCCATGCTCCCAAAATACTGTAGTAGGACCTCTGTTTATACAGTAAGGACATGTCTATATATACTCATACCCGTCGCTATGGGCGGGCCATAGGGGGCCGTGCCCGTCCCCCAAGATGCTTGTGCCCCCCCAGCCAGGGGTCTATAGTCTACGTGATACACAGGTACAGTATGGGCCATATTCCCCCCTCCCCCCACACACACACTCTCTCTCTCTCTCTCTCTCTCTGGTGTGCGCTGGTTTAAGGCGAGACACAGCAGGTGAAAGTATTGATTTTTCACGCAGTGGTCGAAGTGGAGATTTGTATCTATTTTCCTCCCTTTACATCTTATTTTTCATGTCAGAGAATAAAAATGACAAAACCCATCCCGCATGATGCTTATTTTATGATGATTTGTCCGCTCTGCCGCGGGAATTCATTCACAATGACGCTAGGTTATTGACGCTATCACCCAAATATGGTATTAGAATTATCACACTTTTTTCTTCATTGAAGGATCCATTTTCTCAAAAAGGTTATGTAAGTATTGTTAATGTATCCATGGAAATTTAATTTGGTTTATCTACACATGTTTTGTGTCGGTAATGGATATGTATAGATACCAATCATAACTGTACACTTTGTTTTCAGACTAATCTTGCCTCGTAATGAGACGGTGACCTCCTTTTTGCTTAACACAATATCTGCAAGTCCACGATGTTGATAAAGACGACATTGTGTGTAAGTGTTTTACTGTTTCTCCCTTGTTTGACATTACTGTGACTTGCGTTTGATATTTATTCATATCACTCTTTTGATTGTTTTCTAGCGGCCTGTAAGACTTATTATGAGACGGTTCGCAGGAGCCATCAATATGTCAAGCCAGAAAACTCATTGAGGGCGGACGTTTTTCTGTTCACCTGCCTTAAGCTTTTGTTAAAGCGGAGATAATACGAAGGACATGAGGTTCCTTTTAATGTTCGTATGATTGAGGCTGGTTCGATCTACTGGACGTTTGAGTAAGGCAAGCGCACAAGTTAAAGCTGCGTAGGAACTGAACTGTATTGAACTAGATTGACCAGGGCTCGAGTCCACAGGAATGTCGAAAATTCAGTTTATCTTCACAAATGCAAAACATCTGATCTCGTGATTGGGACGGGACCGGGAAAAAAACACCGGGAGTTGGCGGCAGGGGGAGGGAGGGTGTGTGTGTAAAAATCCAAGCCCACTCCCCAAGATAAATAGGTGTTCAACCAATGGCCTATTTACAGTAGATGTCAGCGATGGCTGTGATCAACGCACAAGTCAGTGAGCTCATCAGGACCCTGCGTAAGAAAGGCTGGACGACTAGCACTATCGCCAAACACATGGCCACAACTGGAATGAGAGCTTCCTTGCGAACTATCCAGCATCATTGCCGATGTGCTGTTGTGGAGAAGAAGGAACGCAAGCCACGTAAAGTGACAAGGTAAATGTACTTTTTATTATTTAAATATATGTGGGGGCGACAGTAGCTCAGTTGGTAGAGCATTGGCCTTTGAGCCTGAAGGTTGTGGGTTCGAACCCACCGTAAGACCTACTTCACGACTCCCACTGATGACTGCTGTCGTTGTGTCCTTGGGCAAGACACTTAACCCCACTTTGCCTGAAGCTCCCACTGAAAGATCTCAGCTCCTGTGGACTCAGCACCTGCAGGAGGATCAGTGAGGGGCTGGTGCTCTGTGGACTGGGTGGCGTTGCTGGCCACCCCCCCGACCCAGAAATGGATTAAGGGGAAGAAAATGGATGGATGGATGGATATATACTCAACTTTGTAAGTTTCACATGTGAACAAAATAACAACAGGCTTTACCAAACTATGTTCTGAAACAATGTGTCTCTTTCAGTCAGGTGATGGAAATAATAGACTCTATCCTGAGAACAGACGATGAACTATCAGCAAGAAAAGTAAAAGAGCTTCTCCAAAGCAGGCACAACATAACGATCGGGTTACACTCGGTGAGAAAGGCAGTCCGGAATCTTGGCTGGAACTTTGGGAAGCCCAGGTAACACGCGTCTCTTTATTAATTACTTATCGTGATAACCGGGCACTCAACATGTCATTCTTATAGTAACATTTTTTTTTCTTTTTTTTTTAGGCCCGAGCCCCAACCGGGGTAAGGGCCTATTGCTTATTGTAACTGTCATAAGTCACAATCTTGTGACCTGCACGCGACGGCACGTGCCCAGACACTGATAAATCCGTGCCGGAGGCACGGAATGGCTTTGCTCCTGCTGTAGTACACAGTGAAATTATTGAGGTCCTATAGACCCCGTGCACTAGAAAATGCTAACTTCCGGGTTTGAGACCGGATGTACGTTTGCGCATTTCCGGTTGCGTTTGTTTGCTGCTAAGGATGGACTCAAAGAAACCCAGGATTTGTAACAGAAACGATGGCTTTACTTTTCAAAAAGCGCACGGTAGTAATAGACAACACTGTTGCGTGCCCTTGTGCACTGCTTCAGGCAGATTTAACAAACTGCTCAGTTTCCACAGCTTCCCGAAAGACCCGGATTTGCGTGCTCAATGGCTGGTGAAAATCAGAAGGGAAGGCTTCACTGTTCAGACGAGCTCAAGAGTGTGTAGTCGGCATTTTGAGACTGGAGAAATCTTCGTAGCTAAGTCAGGGAAACGGTGCCTTCAGCCGAAGTCAGTTCCATGTTTATTCCACTGGAATAATTATTTGAAAAAGACCCAGCGACCCGGAGTTTGGGAGCGCCGTCCACGTGTTTCCCAGACCGCGGTCGCAGCTGCAGAGGATGATGTCAACTCCAATGTGGACATAGTGACGGACGATGAGCCCTCCTCTGGTTGTATTGAGCTGGCTCCAGACTCTACCCCCATCATTGAGGACCACGACTATGCTGCAAGTTCATTCATTGTGGTGGACCGTATGAAATATGAAAACATGACGAGGGAGATTGAGGAGCTCAGGCAGCAGCTAGAGTCGCATCATTTGACTCATAGATTTGGACTGCAGCGGTTTGCCTCATCACCTGAAGACATTCGGTACTACACAAGGTAAGAGATTATGTGCACGTGTGTTAAGAATGTATATGTATAATGTATTCTCAGATTAACAGTTAAATGTGTGGATTGATTGATATTTGTGTTATTGAGCGTGGCTAGCTCCGTTAGCTTCTCTGCAGACAGTAGTGACGTAGCCCGTTGTGACAAAGTGTACGAACTACTGTCAGAGTAATCTTATCCTGAATTACAAGCAGAGACTGTGTTGCCAAAGGGCAGCGGCCATTCTTGGTTTGCGAGGTCCTTTTTAAATAATAATTGGTAGAACGTTATTAAAATTACATTCAAATCAATGGAACGTTCTACTGCTGCTGTGAGAAACTGTATCATAAATTATGATTAAATATTTGAATACATTTTAAATTTTTAATTGATAAACAAACGCGAACTTAGAATATGTTTGTGCAAAAGTCAAAGCCCTATAGGTCACTACATCATTACAACAAGATCCAAGAATTTATTTTACTTGCCATTTGCCGTAAAACCACATTATATGCTTGTTAAGGTTTTCTACTTTTAATCCATAGCCCTTAGCACATAATTATGTATGTTAAGAATATTCATTTTACTCATATTCCCATTAAATGGGCCTATAGACTCTTGTGCAGTCAAGAAAAACTAATAACATCAACTTTTTACATGCAGATTTCCATCATACGGACATTTGATGGCCTTTTGGAATCTAATCAAAGAGGCAACAAGCAGAATGGTGAGGGTCACTAGTGGTCAGAAGAACCTTTCCGACAGCACATCCACCGAGACTCCTGTGACTCGAACAACTGTAAGTTCTCCCTAAAACTTCCTTCTCTATTGCTCTTGTTGTTTGTGCAGGTGCTACCTGTTTTCCTGCTTTCTGTCTCTCTTTCAGTTTTTTAATTATTTAATCAAATTCACTCACTAAATATCCACAATTTCTACACTACATCACACTGATTATTGTAATCCCCTTAGTTTGTGTATTGTAACTTTATTGTCATCTATTAATTTATGTTTATTTTTTGTTTTTCAGAAATTACTGCCAATTGACGAGTTATTCTTGTTCCTCAATTATCTGGCTACTGGATGTACACAAAGGGACCTGAGTCATAAATTTAATATCCACAGAGCTACAGTGAGTAGGATAATTGTGACATGGTCCAACTTTTTGTACAGTTTGCTTGGATCCATCTCCATCTGGATGACAGCTGAGAAAGTGAGCGCAACCTGCCCCACAGATTTTAATGGGACTTATAGAAACACGCAAGTAATTCTGGACTGTACTGAAATGAGGTGCCAAACACCCTCCTCCCTTCTGCTCCAGAGTGAGGTGTTTTCTACGTACAAGTCACACTGTACATTCAAGGCCCTTATTGGCATGTCCCCCCATGGAGCGTTGACATTTGTGTCAGCACTGTTTGAAGGCTCCATCAGCGACAAGGAGATTTTCCGTCACTCTGGCATTGCCTCCCTCCTAACACCAGAGATGGAGATTATGGTGGATAAAGGGTTTCTGGTTGAGGAGCTTGTGTCCGGGAAAGTCCATCGCCCAGCCTTTTTGTCCAAACAGGCTCAAATGTCTGAGGTGGATGTCCTTAGTACCCAGTCCATTGCACGTCTGAGGGTCCACGTAGAGAGGCTCATTAGGAGGGTTAAAGAGAACAAACTGTTTGACACTGTCATTCCTCTATCCATTTCAGGCAGTATCAACCAAATTTTCACTGTAGCATGTCTCCTGACAAATTATCAATACGGACCCCTGGTGAAAAAATGGATGGTTGATTAAAATGACAATTTAACAATAATACGACCCATTATTTTCATGTTTATTGTAATCAAAATGTAAATCTGTTTAATGTTAGGTATGGTGAAGTGTTCAGACTAGTTGTTTACCTTAATGTCTAATCTTTGTGTACTAATCAATTTTTTTTTGGTATTTGTTGAGCAATGAGATTGAGTTCAAAGAAATACCAGCAGTGCCTTGTGTTTGAAATCTAGCATTGTTTTAAAAGAATATTTTTTTCTGTATTGTATGTTAATATTGTTTTTTCTCCTGCTGTGTCTTCTCTCCACTCTTATCTCACATTCCTCGCCCAAGGCCATAAACAAGGTCCCACAATCTACAACAACTCACACTATTTCAGTCTCCAGCAAGGATCCCTCACCCCCGCCTCCCTCTACCTATCCATCTTGCTCCCTCCCTCCCCTCCATTCCTCATTGTTTTCCTACTCACCCCCTCCCTGATCCCGCCCCCCTCTGACAGCTACATTGGGCAGGCAGTCGGAGGTGCTCATCCCGAGAAAAAAATCCGTGGTTTATAAAAAGCACAATGTGTCTATCCAATTGTCTGTGAACTGTATGTTATTGCTCTCTGCTGTTTCTTGCTGCCCACAGCGCCGCAAATGGCGAAGTGGCACGCTCTCTGCCAAGACAATTTCCAAGTGATAACTTTGTTACTCACGTGCAGTGATGGGAATAACGGCGTTACTAGTAACGGCGTTACTAACGCCGTTACTTTTTTCAGTAACGAGTAATCTAACTAATTACTTTGACAGTAACTATAACGCCGTTATAGTTACTGCGCGTTACTCAAGACGCACAATGAACGTGTTGTCATGAGAGAAGGGAGGATGAGAAAACCTCTCAGCAATTATTGGCTGATGTAAATCATATTTCCTTTACAATCTACATGTCTACAGTTGAGAGGATGGCTCATAAATTGTGTTTTTGAAACAAATATGGGTCTTAATCGCGCTCAACCACGGCTTGTATCACCGTGAGGTCAGCCACAGAGGAGCGCATGTGAGCGCAGAAGTCGGCTGCATACAATTCCATCGATAAGCTCCTTGCTCTTCCTGGTTTATCTGCTAAGGACAGCAACAGGTTTGGCTAACATACATATAACACATTTTTACATAATCTAAAATGCACATAGGGTAATTTTTCAATTACTATAGGAATGATAAGAAAGAGAGGTGAAGTGTAAGACGGTTGATTTTAGAAATTGGATGCAGCCGGCTGCAGCAAAACAGAGGAGTTTACGGAGGACACACGCGTTTTGTTTTACTTTTTAAAACTCATTGGACTCATTTCCAAATGGAGGATTACATATCTACGCCCAAACCATTCACTGGATTTAAACAAGGAACTGGTCTGAACCGAAGTGGACTGTGCAGGTCATTTATAAGGTATAGCTATAAGGTAAGACCCATAACTCATAGTTTTGCGTTTTGTATGAACAAACAATGCGGGCATAAAACATATTTTGCTGTAGCCAAACAAATTGTCCACTTGATTTATATGATGTATATGTTCATCTGATTGGACTGAAGTCAGTGCTTCACCAGCCTCACCGTTCGTCACCGGTGTTTCCACATTCACAGTGGCGGGCTTTACAGCACAGTGAGAGATGAAGAGTGAACAAGACTTCAGCAGCAAAACAGCCTTTTCTAGATGGAAATATTGGCACTGTTAAAGGTAAAAATGCGCACGTCGGGTGCACATTATGTTCCAGAACAAAACGAAAAAGTAACACAATAGTTACTTTTACTGGTAACTAGTTACTTTTATAGTGGAGTAACTCCGTTAGTAACTCAGTTACTTTTTGGGAGAAGTAACTAGTAACTATAACTAATTACTTTTTCAAAGTAACGTGCCCAACACTGCTCACGTGGCAATAAAAATGATTCTGATTCTGATTCTGAATATGAATATTTGCATCCTACATTTGACAGGGCAGAGACACCCTGATATGTATGCTATTAAAGTATGTTAAATATAATTTCTGACATCTATGCTTTTTGCTTTCAGAATTGCAGTGAAAGTCTTTAGCATCTTTACACAATTTATTGCTGTCTGCATATAAAACAAAACTGTAGACAATGCTGTTATAGTAGGACCGCTGTATTTGTAAAGCAACAGCAAATCACTTCCAATTTTTATACATGTTTATTTAAAAATGAAAAGGTGAGCTCCAAACAATTACAATACAATAAAATGTATTCATGTATAGCCCTAAATCACAACAGTCATCTCAGAGACTTAACAAAACCATTAAACAAGTCAGAATCAACAATATAAAAAACACATTTAGGACAGTGCTATGTATTTGTCCATGTACACATGAAAATAGAACATGTCTATCTTTCGCTTCATGGTCTCCATCACACTCTCATCTCTTTGTATTCTTTGTATGAACACATCTTCTTGAGTGGAGACAACAAAATCGCACCAACTCATTCCTGTAGTAAGCAGCTGGCCCTGAACTTGCCAATAGTAGGCATGTGTGGATTTAAGCTGCAGAGTCCCACTGATGTTTTTAAGGTAAGGTGCGTCCACATAATTTTTTATGTTGGGACATTTTATTTCTAATAGGCCAAATTGAGGTATCTCTAAGGGGTCAAAAATGACTCCATCTGGTGATGCACCAATCCATGGTGCATCTGGGTGCACCACAAACCCACATTTGTAGTGGTTCACCCGCTTTATTCGAGTGTACTCCCAAATCGCATCCGCCTCTAACTCCAAGCCTCTCTTCATTGGGCCCGTCTGGTGAGTACCTTTTAAGATGCGTTCGGCCAGCAGCTCTTCAGAGGCCTTGCCCACAAAACATATCTCTCTGAAGCGGGATGCAGTCACCCGTGGCCTCCGTACATTATGCCAATCTATATTACAACTCTGCTCCCGTGTAGAACACTCAATTTTATGAGACATCTCTAGGCTAACCTCCAGACTTCTCATGTGCAGCTGTTGTTTCCTGGAACAGACAAATGTGCACTCTGATGGCTTCAGTCTGTAATCTTGCAGTGGTAATGGTGGAGAAGGTGGAGCATGATGGAGAGTCTGAGCTTTCTCTTTGGCTGGGTGCTGATAAGAAAGTGGACTTCCTTTCTGCACTTTGCCAAACAGTGACTCCACAAGTGGGACGTCGTCTGTTATTCCCATGCTGCAGATCATAGGTCGGTCAGCTTCAGGGAAAGTATGGTAAACTTCAGATACCCGAAGAACCGAAAGGTCAGGAAGTTCCCCATGAAGGCCTCTGTACAATTTGCTCCTGGTTGTTGACAAAGAAGAAAAAAAAAAACACAATTTAAATTTGTGTCACTTTAAAAAAAAAAAAAAAAATCTAATGATACATCAAGCACTTACCGCACTCCCTCTGTGGTCTTTGTTTTGGGTTTGGCTGAGAGCACAGCCATCTTCTCAACAGGCCCAGGCTTAATCCCCTATTACAGTAGAAAATATATATGATACATAAAACATGTTTTATTTATGTTGATGTTATCATGTACATGTTGCTTGATCTGATGTGTGTCCCCTGCACTCTTATTGCGATTTGATGTATGAAATGCGGTTGAACTCACCATAACTCTAGGCTTATGCCATTGTTGTTCTCCTTCAGTGCAGCTTAACATCGGGGGGACAACTTGGAGTTTCAATTGAGAATAATGAGCAGATTGAAACAGAAGGGCAACACAGTGATTACATAAAGCTTTTCCAGCCTTGCATGTGCATGCAAAGTGCAGCAGTGTCACAGGCTGCGAATCTGTTAGGACCACCTAAAAAGTACAAGATTTGTATTTAATGTTATGTAATCAAATAATATTCCCAGAACGTATTTTACATTAAAAAATACATAATGATTATCCAACAAAACGCCTACAACCTGTAACATCACAATTCATTATACACAACCATTTCATACTGCTTCTTTCTGTAATCATACTCTGAGTTTGTGAGCTTTCTCGGATTTCCTCATCGACCTGAAGCACTCTGCCCTGACCACCACCTCTCCTGAGCCCTGATCTTTATCAGATACTGCCAAAAACAAGAATTTTAGTATGGTTAGTAATAGAATAACATGTTAGTATTCATTAGTATAGGAACTGTAACAGAAACAAAATGTATTAGGATTTATATAATATACAAATGTTATATAAATCCTAGAAGGACAGAACGTATAATGTAGCTTTAATGTAGGTTCAATGCTAAACAGACACAAATACATTGTATTATTGCTTAGCCTTTATATTAATAGTTAGGCCTGCATGGTTCATTACATAATAAATATGTTAGCCCCTTGTTATTGAGATGCCTCACCAACAAGGGGCTTATTTTTCAGATGTATTATTGTGGAATTGTAGCGCAGCTGGCAAAATACGACTGCATTGTTGTTAGCAACTATGCTAATTTTGCAAATAATGCTACGTTAACAATCTTGAGGGGCGGTTCTGCTAGTGATGTTGTTTCCAAATGGTGTTTTTGGTGTTATTGGCATGTAGTAGAGAGGTTCTTAGTTGACAAAATAGTTTGATAGTTTACTATGTTTGGAGTAACCTAGTTGCTGAAAATGCACTTGCTAACACAGTATATCTGCTCAGATAACACCCTTTCTTTAGTATAGTTACATAATATTGCTACTTATAGTTAGAAATGCTGTGTTGTTGTCACTTACCTTCGAAATTATGCAAGTACTGGGAGATATAAAATTTAAATCCTTTTTCGCGTTTACTCTGAGGAGCAGGAGAAAAAGATTCTATAATGCGATGGACATCATTGATGGATATGTCTGGTTTCCAAGTGACCTAGAAAAATTAAAATCTGCGTTTGCTTGAGCCATTTTAAACACCAAACAAGACCTTGAACTGAGACTCCCACCAAATTTAAACGCAGCGCCGATGTCACCGGAAATGAAGAACCGAACAGGAGTTTTCAGACCGGAAGTAGCATATGCTAACGTGCACGGGGTCTATTAAAGGGGGGTTCTTTCAACTGTCTTACGGACATCTGCAGTTATCTGCAGTTCATCCAGAGTGATCATGAGCCTCTTGGCTCCATCTCTGATCAGTCCTCTCCTTGTTTGAGATGAAAGTTTGGAGGGACGGCCGGGTATTGGTAGATTTGCAGTGGTCTGATACTCCTTCCATTTCAATATAATTGCTTGCACAGTGCTCCTTGAGATGTTTAAAGCTTGGGAAATCTTTTTGTAGCCAAATCCGGCTTTAAACTTCTCCACAACAGTATCTCGGACCTGCCTGGTGTGTTCCTTTGTCTTCATGGTTCTCTCTGTGCTTTAAACAGAACCCTGAGACTATCAAAGAGCAGGTGCATTTATACGGAGACTTGATTACACACAGGTGCATTCTATTTATCATCATCAGTCATTTAGGACAACATTGGATCATTCAAAGATCCTCACTGAACTTCTGGACTGAGTTTGCTGCACTGAAAGTAAAGGGGCCGAATAATATTGCACGCCCCACTTTTCAGTTTTTTATTTGTTAAAAAAGTTTAAATTATCCAATAAATTTCGTTCCACTTCACGATTGTGTCCCACTTGTTGATTCATGACAAAAAAAATTTTTTTTAATATCTTTATGTTTGAAGCCTGAAATGTGGCGAAAAGTTGAAAGGTTCAAGGGGGCCGAATACTTTTGCAAGGCACTGTATATATTCTAGAAATAGATCCTTTCTTGAGCGGGTCGTTCACTAACACATTATTCATAGGATCCATTTCAGGTTGATTAGGAAAAGAGGGAAATGTCGCCTTAGTAGAATTACGTATTTGAAAAAATCTTTGTTATCAATTTTAAATTTGTGTTTTAATCTCTCAAATGTTGGAAATACTTTGTCAATAAAAAGGTCCAGAATTGTGTGCACTCCTTTAAGGTCCCATTGTAGAAATGCATGACCTGAAAATAATTTATGACCTTGATTTCCAATTATTGGTGTAAGGACCGAACAATGATTCCATTTAAAGTGTCTTCTGATTTGAGACCAAATTTTCAGTGAGTGAGACACAACAGGGTTGTGAGTTTTAAATTTAGAAAGATTAGAGGTGTAATGTATCAATGATTTCAATGCATTAGGGAAAAAGGCTTGATTTTCCATCCGTTCCCAATCAGGCCTGTGAAATCCATTCCAAAAAGAAATACATGGAATATTACAGGACCAATAGTAGAGCCGGATATTGGGCAGACCCATTCCTCCGACAGGTTTGGGTCTTTGTAAAAAAGGTTTTTGGATCCTTGGTGTCTTTTTATTCCAAATAAAGGACGTAACTAAAGAGTCTATTTTAGTAAAAAAAAAAACTCTTATTGATCAAAATTGGAACACACTGAAATAAAAATAAATATTTTGGCAAAACATTCATTCTGATAATATTAATTCGGCCAGCAAGAGAGATCGGGAGATTAGACCACCTCTCAATCTGTTTCTCTGTTTGTTTATATAGGTTCGCAAAGTTCTTACTGAAGAGGCCAGAGATCTCACGTGTGACATTTATTCCGAGATATTTAAAAGGAGTAAGCGTGTGTATTTGTGCTCTAGCTTTTGAGCTGATCGCAAATAATATGCTCTTTGACAGGTTGATTTTATATCCTGATACCTTCCCAAAATCAGATAGCATGGTCATAATATTTGGTAGAGACAGAGATGGATCAGAGATGTACAAAAGCAGATCATCTGCATACAAGGACACTTTATGCTCCTTGCCTCCTTTCTCAATCCCTTTATAATCACCTGCAGAGCGCAGCAATATAGCCAGAGGATCTATGACCAGGGCAAACAGCAAAGGAGACTTGTCGTGTTGAGCGTTGGAGAGGAAAAGAGCAGGAGTCCATATTATTTGTATGAACACATGCTTTAGGCTGAGCGTAAAGTAGCCTGATTAAGGAAGTATAGTGTGGGCCAAATCCGAACCTCGACAGGGCCGAGAAGAGAAAGTCCCACTCGACCCTGTCGAAGGCCTTCTCCGCGTCTAATGAGAGTAATATTTCAGATATTTCCTGATTTGGATTTTGAGTGTAAATAATGTTAAACAAGCGTCTGATGTTAAAAAAAATCTTTTTCTAAACGCACGGCCAAGATCTTTGCTAAAATGTTGTTATCCACATTCAGAAGGCTTATGGGTCTATATGAACCTGGTTCTAGTGGGTCTTTCCCAGATTTGTGAATTAAAGAAATACATGCGTCATATAGCGTTGGAGGTAGAAATCCTGCAGCTAATGCTTCGTTATAAACACTTAAAAGGAGAGTTGAAATTCGATCTATAAAAGCCTTATAAAATTCAACACTGTGACCATCGGGACCAGGGCACTTAGAATTTTGCATAGACTGTATAGCCTGCTTTATTTCTAATTTTGAAATTGGTTGTTCTAATAACTCTTTGTTTTCTAAACTTATAGTGGGTATTTGAAGGTTATCAAAAAATTGTTCTATTAATTGTGGGTCTTTTTAGATTCTGAAGAGTACAATTTGGAATAGAAGTTTTTAAATGTGTCGTTAATTATTTTGGGATTTGTTGTGGTTTTACCTGTTTCTATACGTATCTCTGTTATTAACCTTGACGCTGCCTCTTCTTTAATTTGTTGGGCCAATAGTTTACCTGTTTTTTCCCCGTATTCATAATTTTTGTGTCTTAATTGTGTCAAAAATGTAGTTTCTGCTGTATATAATAAATTGAGTTCTGTCTGCAATGACTGCTTCTTTTTATAAAGGGCAGGTATGGGAGAATCGGCATAATTTCTGTCAATTTCTTTAAGTTCTTGGGTCAATTTGAACTCCTTTTCCCTTCGCTGCTTGTTTCTTAAACTAGTCAGGCAAATAATCTGGCCCTAATGTACGCTTTAAACGTTTCCCACAAGGTGGCTCTCTTGATCTCCGGATCATCATTAGTAAGAAGAAACATATCCATTTGTTTATGCAGATCTTCTATTATATTATCGTCTGATAAAAGTGCATTATTAAACCTCCACTTTTTAGTTGAAGGGTCGTGACCCATCTCTATATGGAATGACACTGGACAATGGTCAGATATCACAATTGCCTCATAATCACAATGCTTAATGTTGGTCAGATATGCATAATCAATTAAAAAGAAATCAATTCTAGAAAACGAATGATGAACCGGAGAAAAAAAATAGTATTTTTTTGTGTTGGGAAATAATACCCTAAATGGGTCGCTTAATTTATAGATATTCATGAATCCCTGAATGGCTTTAGCAGACTTTGATATGTTGGATGATTTTTGTGATGATTTATCTATTGTCGGGTCCAATACTAGATTAAAATCCCCTCCAATAATCAATCTGTGAGTATCCATATTAGGTAACGCTGAAAAAAAAGAGACGATAAAAGCTTCGTCATCGGTATTGGGAGCATAGATACTAGCCAAAGTCACCGGCTTATTATATAACTTCCCTGTAGCAATAACATAACGCCCTCGGGGATCAGATATGACTTTTGATGCCAAAAAGGAATTGTCTTTCTAATAATTATTGCTGCACCTCTATTTTTTACAGGAAAATTAGAATGAAATATCTGTCCAAGCCATTTAGTTCGTAATCGTTTATGATCCTGATCTCTCAGGTGTGTCTCTTGTAAAAACCCGATATCCATCTCTAATTTTTTAAGGTGGGTCAGTACATTTCCTCGTTTAATAGATCCATTGAGTCCCTTACAATTCCAGGAGACAATTTTAACCAAGTTTATATGACTCGATGAGAAGTCTAAAGTATTGTTGCTAGCCTTCATTGTTTAGGTGGAAAAATAAAATATTTCTCAATTTAGATTTTTTGGACAACCTCATTTGATAAAAGTCAAAAATATATTCAACAGTAGTGCAGGAAAAAACACAGAACAAACCAAAATCTCTAAAAACAACAAACCTTGCTCTCTCTCTGAAAAACCTTGAGCTAACTACTCCATCAGAACTACAGAGGAAACATAGAATCCCCCCCAAACCGTTGTTTGTGCACTCAGAAAGGTGTGTGAACATTTGACTTACCACTAAGCTCCTAAAGAAAAGAAAAAAAAAGAATTAAACCAAAATCTTCCAGACCATCTTAAACATATTTTGGCCAATACCTGTGTCGATTGTAGACCAGCGTTTCCCAAATTTAAAGCAGATAAATGTAGAAATATATATAATAAAAAATAAATAAAAACACTTCTATAGTGAAGAAATGTAAAACAATAAAAAATAAATGACTAAAAATCTAAATAAAAATAAATGGCACAGGGGTACCTGGTTTAGTGTCCGTTTTTCAGTTTATGCAGGCCAGTCATAACATTTCCACGAGCGTCTAAATCAGCGTTCAATGCTCCTCCAATGACGATGATTTGTTGCGGTTAATGAATCTCTCCACTGCACATGGATCGATGAAGGTCATTCTGGAATCATCAACTGTTATCTCCAGCTTGGCAGGGAAGAGCATTCTGTACTTGACTCCAGTGTCACGAAGTTTGGTTTTTACTTGTTTGAAGGCCGCACGTTGTCGTCCTACCTCTGGGCTCATATCCGGGAAGATGTGAACCTGTGCTCCTTCAAAGAAAAGTTTGCCTTTGGTCCGGGACAGTGACATGATCTTTTCTTTATCCGAATAGTAGTGAAGACGGGCAATCATGGGTCGGGGGTCGCTCGCCAGAACGTGGTTTTGGAGCGAGACTTCTGTGGGCACGATCAACAAGGATGGGACCGTCAAAGTTTTCTTCACCAAGCACTTTAGACAGAAATTTGGCTATAAATATGGTTGGCATGTTGTTTTCGGCCCCTTCGGGAATATTTAAGATCCTGATGTTTTGGCGGCGGCTCCTGTTCTCCAAGTCAATGCACTTCTCCTCAAGTTTCTTCTGGTCAGCAGCCAGAGTCTGGTAGGAGTTTTCCAGAGCCGTGAGCCTGTCAGAAGTGTCGCTGAGGGATTGCTTCATGTCCGACTGTGTGACAGCCGCCTCTTTTTGCATTGAAAACAGGCTCTCGACTTTTCCCATTAGCTTGTCGTGAACAGTTTTAATGTCCGCTTTGGTGGTCTCCCGCAGGGATGAGATCTCGTCGCGTATTTCTTTGGTGAGGCCTTCCTCTCTGCCTTTAGAAATGATCGCATTGTGTCTCTGTACGAGTTAAATTCCCAGTGAGATAGGACCGTCTTCTGTTAGCCCCGTGGCACCGCTAGCTTTAGCACCGTCATTTTTTCCTGCAGTGGTGGCCTGAGAGTCAAGCTCAACAGGGTCAAGACGAAAATTGATGTCTGATGCAGCCACAGACATCACATCGTCCTCACACAACGGGGCCAGGTCCGGCACAGAAGGGCCCAGCACATGTTCCCCAGAAAACGGACGAACATCCTGCAGAAGTGCCTTCTTTTGGGCCATCTCTGACGCAAGGTGGTCCATACGTGCAGACAACCCTGCAGGCACCCTACGCTTCCTCTGCGGACCCGAGGAAGCAGTGGACACAGCCGCACGCTTAGACCCAGCAGGCGGCAGGCAGGGTGGCACCTCCGAAGAACCCCCATCCGGATCCAGTGCCGCCAGGCGGTCCACGCGCACAGAGTGCGGCAGTACCGCACAATTAGAGCAGGCGTCCACTGTCAGGCCCTGTCTCAAATGCCCGACACCCAGGCACGCAGGGCAGAGGTCAGGGCAATCCTCGCGGGGCATCGGTGCCATGCACCCACGACAGCCCAGCGACTCGTGCATAACGAGAGCGCCTGAACTGGTGGAGCAATGTAAGTAGAGTCGGGTCGAGCTGAAAACGCCACAGACGACTCAAAGCACACGGTGAAAACCAAACACAACTGAACAGAGGGCAAACAGTCTAACTGTTGGTAGAAAAAAAAAAAAACGTTAGCGTGCACTGAAAACAGAAAAGCTAACGAAAGTGTACAAACCCACAATGTGGGCAAAATAAAGAGTCCGGTGGGGCAGAGGACGCCACACACGCCTCCACAACCAGAGCAATAACAACTCTACTGAACAGAGATCAAACAGTATAACTGCTGATAGAAAATTACAACGCTAGTACAAACTGAAAACAGAAGACTAGAAAAATGCACACACGCACACAACGTGGGCCAATTAAAGAGCCAGGTGTGGCAGAGGACACCGCACACGGCTCCCCAAACAGAGCAAAAGTAACACACTGAACAGAGGACGAACAATATAACTGCTGTTGTAGAATTACATACCCCAATGAAGGAGAAAGCTCAAAAGTATTTGTCTTAATCAGGAGCGTAAGTTTATTGTACACACGTGCGGAGAGCTCACATACACAAAGCAGCGTCCATAAGCTCTGACGCGGCCAGACCAGGTTCCTGTTTACATAGACAACACATGAAAGACAGTCACGCCCACAAAAGATGGGAGGGGGCCACCAGTACAGGAGGCGCCTCCGGAGGCGAGGCGCCAAGTCCGGGGGGAGGCAATCAGACCGTGCCATAGAGATGCAAACAGAGAGACAATGGACATGCAGGATGTAGAGATGCAGACATACAAATGCAAGATGCAAAAGGGACAAGGGTGAGACAGTCATTGTCTGTAGGTGCGGGGGGAAGCCCGGCTCCTTCCTGCAGGTTAATTGGATAGAGCAGCAGGGGGGGTGAGTTGGCGTCCCCGAGTCTAGGCCGCTTGCCATCACACTCCTCTCCCGTGATAATGTAGAAACCCCAGTTTTACAGAGATCACATTCAGGTGGGTGAGTATTGACCTTGGTCCCTGAGCAAAACAAGTGGAAAAATAAAAACAAGGTAAACAAGAAAGAAAAACGTTAGACAAAGTCATCGTCCGAATCGCTGATATAATCAGGATCGGAGTTCAGTGGGACAGCGGCCAGGTCCGCCTCGGGGTCTTTGTATTGAATGGACACAAAGTGAGTGGATACCATTTTACCAATGGCCCGAAACACCATAGGTAATACACATGAAAATAAAATCATAACAGTCAATAGGGCTAAACCAAGATTAATGAGCACACTCCGCCAGGAGGACAGGAGCCAGTCCAGACCGTGAGGAGTGTCCGTGACATTGTCCGCTTGCATGGCCAATGATCGTGCCTACGCCTCCCACAGACGCGGTCAGGTGGTCCAGGACCAACCGGTCCTGAAGAACAACGGCACGTAGGTCGTGAAGTTCAACTCTCTGTGATTCAAGTATGGCCACTGTGGTATTGACAAAACCTGAGAACCTATAGCTCAGGGTCTCCGTCCTTAGCATTAGTTTACCTACACCCAGGCTGGGGAATAATGCTAACATTATTTTCTGGCCTGTGGTCCATAATTCGTGGTCATCGGGTACATTAGTGCCCCATAGGGGGTCGTCTCGGGATTCGGAGGCAGGGGAGTTGGGCAAAGGGGGTCGCCTCGGGAACGCTGGGATTCTCTGGGTGTTGTTGTTGGCCTGCTTCACCGACGGTGGTCGCACGCCGGCCGACCTCTTCAGCGTAGGGAGCCGCGGATGGGCCTGGTCCGTCCCCACCCTCGGTGTCCTCGTCTATGGCCCTCAGTGGCAGCACCGCACGACAGTGGTAACGGCAGTGTCCGTCACCAGGAGGACAAGGAATGGGCCTAGCCAGCGCTTGGACCGCCAATGTTGTCGTCTCGTTTCCTTCACCAGGACCCAGTCGCCTGGCTTGATCTTGTGCGGAGCCGCCTGCGCAGCCTGTGGCAGGGCGCTCCTGACCTGGGCAGAAATAGAGGGCAAAAGTGCATTAATTTCCTTACAATAGGACAGCATGTCGTCATCACACAAAGAGGTGCTTGGCAAATCTCTGGTCGGGGGTCCCGCGCCCAAGTTGGGCGGTCTGGCAAAGAGGATTTCGAATGGGACTCTCATGCGCATGTACATGAGGGCTAGCGGCAGAGCTTTGATCCAAGACAGGTCTGTCTGTTCGCAGATTTTAACAAGTTTGTTTTTCAGAGTGCCATTCTCTCGCTCGCACGCGCCTCCGCTCCAGGGGGCGTAACTGCAGTGTTTACGTATATCAATGCCCAGAAATTCACCTACTTCCTCAATGACTTTTGCTACAGAGTGACTGCCATTGTCACTAGAGATTTTTTCTCGGGACACCCCATCGTGGCACAATTTCTGTGAGCAGAGCTTTCACCACCGCGTTGCTCGTGGCGTGTTTGCATGCAAATACTTCAGTCCATTTGGACCAGAGATCCGCCAGAACCAGACAGTATTTCTTACCTTGGCATGGTGTGAGTTCAACAAAGTCCCTTTGGACATGTTGAAATGGGCGCAGGGGCGGAGGATGAGCAGCCTGTTGGATAATTTGGGACTTACCTGGGTTGTGCGCGAGGCAGATAGCGCATGTTTGGCAGAATCTCTGTGCAAATGCCGTAAACCCCTTTGTATACCAATTTTGTGTGATTAAATCACACATCCCTCCTTTTGAGGCATGGTCTCGGCCATGTGCTAAAATTGCAAAATGTCTGAAGAAATGCCGTGGTAAGCACGGTTTTAGGTCTGGTCCCAGCCACACACCATGCCGTTGTTGAGCCCCATTTCCCTCCCACAGCATCGTCTCTGCTGTGCCTGCATTGTTGACAGAGAGGAGAAAATATCAACGTCTTGAGTGAGGTAGTGTGTGTGTGTGGGTAGAGGTGAGTATGCCGCTGCCTTGTCCGCGCGCCGATTCCCTGCAGAGATGGGATCAGTGGCATTAGTGTGGGCCTGGCATTTGCATACAGCGATCTCTAAGGGCAACATTACAGCTTTCAGCAGATGTTCAACCTGTGTGGAATTAAGAATTGGTTTACCATCAGATTTCATAAAATTGCGGTGTTTCCACAGTGCCCCCCAGTCGTGCACCACAGAGAAACCATAACGCTTATCACAGAATATGTTAACAGTTTTGCCCGCTGCCAGCTCACAAGCCCCGGTGGGCGCGACCAGTTCAGCGGTTTGTGCTGAATGGTAGTGGGGCAAACTACCAGAGTCTATAGTATCAAAATCAGAGCACACAGCATAGCCGACTCGGTTCTTCCCAGTGTTGTCACGTGACGCGGCTCCGTCTGTATAAAAAAAATCAAGTCAGGATTAGTCAGAGGCACCTCTTTCAGGTCTGGCCTGGGAGTGCATATCTGTTCTATTGTGGCGATACAGCAGTGTGCCTCCCCTTCCTCTGGCGTGGGCAGCAGTGAGGAGGGGTTCAGCTGTGTGCATCTTTTCACCGTGACATTGGGGAGTTCAAAGAGCACCGTGTTGTATTTCAGCCAACGAGCCGCAGAAAGGTGAGAGGTTTTCTGCTCTAGCAGGATCAGGGAAACAGCATGGGGCACAAGCAAAGTTAGTTCAGTGTATCCCACAAGGTCACGTGATGCTAGGGCCGCTTTCTCAGCGGCAGCCACAGCCCGCAGGCAGCGAGGCAACCCTGCTGCCACGGGATCGAGTTTTGCTGAGAAGTAAGCAGTGGGTCTCAGTGGCCCTCCGTGAGACTGCAAAAGTACCGACACCATGCACCCACACCGCTCATCCACAGTCTGAGTGAATGGCCAGGTTGGGTCAGGGAGACCTAGTGTGTGTGTGTAGATTTGCTGTTCCGTTCATCTCCAGTTGCTTTTCTCCCGGATCGTCCTCAATTCATATTGTGGGCTTTTGTGCCAAAGTGGAGGCTCATTTCCTCCTGATCCATACTACTGTCATCCCTGGAGCAGGGGTAGTTTATCTCTCATCTGAAAAAGAAATATCAGAACACAAAAAAAACACAAAAAAAAAATGCCCACTTTCGCTTGTCAATCTTTTTTCCAATTGGGCAAAACATAACTGCATTGACAGACGGTGTGTGGCATCAGGGCGGAGGCTGTAGCCAAATACAGAACAACAAAATGTATGTTTCTAATTTTATACTCCCCTAAATGTGAGTTTACAAACCAAAGTTGTCCTTCAACCAACGACAGCTCACTGCGGTTGGACCGACTCACTGTCAGGGCAAACAGCAGAGGGAGGAACTCCCAATATCTTCAGCGAGGTATTTCATCTCCGAGTACTTTCCGCAGAGTACTTTTCTCAGAGTACTCATCCCAGAGTACTCTCACTTTTACACCTGTTCAATAAAGCTTGTTATCTTTGACTTACACCGTATGCTGTTGACAAAAAATAATTATTCCATGATCACATTAAAACATTACAGACACATTTGTTATTCCATTCTCCGTTCAGCATTCCTCATTTCACTCCTCATTTCACACCACACTCACATCACAGTCACATCACAGTCACATCACAGGCCGATTCCCCACGTTAGTATTGGTCCAGAGTTTGTTAAGGTCAACGTAGTGTACTTTGACATGACACACAAACATATAACATACACAAAACATATAACACACACCAACATATAACAACACAGAAGGCCTGTAATTTTAACTTTGTTATATTTTTCCATGTCAATTT